TGCAATAGTTATTAGCTCATGTATATAGCGTTATCTGTACGAACGGAAATCCCCTCTTTCATTGAAACGTTGTAATATAACCACGAGATTACGAACATGTACACGCTTTTGCAACTTTTAATACTTGGCATTTTCGTTACTTTGCAAAACTCATATAAACGTAAGTATTTTATATATTATTTTTTTAGAATAATTGTTTCTACATGTAGTACGAATAGTGTAAAAAATATCAATTTTATTTTTATTTTTTTATCCAAGATTTTTATATAACTTATATATGAAGATATTTTTTAATGTAAAATTGATATAAAATTTTTAATTAGGTATTTATATAAAGATTTATAATTATAATAGAAATTATGTTATAAATATCTTCATTTTTTTTCCTGCAAAATGGCTTTTAGGTTTAGACTAACTAGACGCTTTACATCTTGACATTTCATCTAACAATTTTCTATTATGATGTCTATCTATTATAATAGATATATAAACTTTTTAAGCGTATAGCTTTATTGTAGTTGACCTGAGAACTGTACATTTATAAATTTTACTTAATATACACCCGTTTCGAGCAACAAAGCAAAGTTTTCTGACCAATAACTTACTCCCTGAAAATACGGTATAACACAAATCGGAAGTTGATACGAAAATTCGAAATTTTACTAAAAAAGATTGGAGGTTTTTAATTTATACAATTTTCACAACTCTTATTTCAATTATTTATTCTACCCATCGAAAGTTTTTTGAGAGCAGGCCGCCATGTTATTTTTCTGAGTCATTAACAAATTGGTACTCTGGAATTACGAGCAATTATTTTTCATTATACGGGCTAGTATGAATTTCAAATCAAATCTCTATAAACGACTATTATATTTTGTGCACTAAGAATAACATATCGCACTTATTTTCTAGAATCAAATTGTAATCAGTTTTACTTATATGTATGTATATTCAATGTGAACTTGCACCTTGAATAAAATATCACAGTTACTTTTCATGGTAATATATTATTACTAAATTTAGATAATATACACTTTACGTATGTTCACTTTGAACTGGCACCTTGAATAACATATCAGTTACTTTTCGTGATAATTTATTATTAGATCGTTTAAATTTTTGAGTACCTTCTTTTGAACATGGCCTGACCTTTTCATTTTTATGATTTTTTTAGGATTATAATTATATCGCGATATACAGATATTTCGGTGAATTAAAATTATGTTGCAATTATTTTTCTTATTTAATAAAAGGTAGTATGCGATATAATGAAGGTTTGACAAAGTAAAAGGAATAAATATATTTATTCAATGGAGAATTTTTTTACATTAAATGTTGGTATTGGCCACCATTCGCTTCCAAACATTTGATTGCCCTGTACGCAACGCTTTCTGTGGCATTCTTTATATGCCGCCGCTGTACGGTAGCAAACGCTCTTTGTATTCGTTCTTCTAATTCGTCCTGCGTTTCTATGCGGTTAAAATAAATTTTCTCTTTCTGCGCACCTCACAAGAAAAAATCACAAGGATTCAAATCTGGTGATCTTGGTGGCCATTGCCAGAAAGGTGCTCCACGACCCATCTAATTATTTCCATACGTATTATTTAAGTATCCTCGGACAGGTGTTGTTATAGTTAAAACAATAAAATTAATAATTAATTAAAATTAAATAATTAAAACAATTTTAGAACCAGTAATTAATGATATTTATAAAGTTTCAATTAGAAAATTGAATTAATACAAAAATCATTTATGCGAAATAAAAATCGATTAAAAAATATATTTGAATAAATAAAAATTGTTGTTATTGCATTGATGTACGATATTTTATGCACTTTTTGCATGCAATTTTTATTCAAACATAATTTTAATCTACGAAAAACAATATTTATCCGTATAAAATAAAACTTCTTTAAAACTAAAAATTGTGAAAATACAAACATTGAAATAATAGCAAAGCGTCATGTGTTTATTAAAAATAAGAAGTTTAGAAACTTTCAGAAGCTAGTACAATATTTTATGATATAAAAAACATATTGCAAACTAATACTAATAGCTGTAAATTCTTTATAAGTTGTACTAAAAAAATTTAAACTTTGCATTAATTTGTTATTTAATTGAGACCTGAAAATTTTTATTAAAACAAATTATGTTTTCAAAAATATGTTTAATAATTTATAATAATTGTAATCTGCATTGTGCGCTGGACATCCATCATGCATAAAATTGATGTTACGTCGAAATAGCGGCATATCGTCGATAGCAGCGGGAGGAAAAAGTAAATTTGGCAACTCATCACGCAAAAAGTCCAGATAATTTAAACCATTTAATCTTTCCGGCAAGAATACTGGTCCAATCTAAGGATAATTATTTGAAATTCATCATAAATAAATTACACATTATGGCTTTATAGAAATTTTTTCTATTGACAAAAGCAGAAGTAAAAAAACGGAATGTTTACAAATGCTAAAATAATTATCTAAATGAAAAGCTAAAATTTAAACCAAAAATAAATACGTAAATCTTCAGTCACAAGAGAAAGACTACAAAATGGCAAAATGTTAAAATATGTATTATTATATAAATTTCAAGAAGGCTGTTTGAGATGCAAAATAAATCTTATCGTCTGTTAATTACTTCGGCAGTAAACCGTTATTAGGATTTTCAATTTATACAAAATTCGATCTCGAATTTTGTTATTTGGTAAATTCTGGAATCATCGATCAGTAATAATAAAGTCACGTTTGTTTTGTATAATAGAATAAAAAGAAGTCATAAATTTACAGCTGTCACATAAAAAACGCTCAAATATACAAACAAGTAACGGTGTCGCAACCGTTCCGCCGAATAATTACATGCTATTGAGCATGCGCTACTTTAAAAATCACGCAAATTATTGTCGCTTCACGCGAAGGTGGGCTCCGCTCCAAAAATTATAAAAGAGGAGCTCACCCCGGCGTAGGGGCCTTATCGCTTTCCGCCGTGTACGCATAAGTCAAACCGCCTCAAAAAAAACCGCAGAACATTTATATCGACAACCGCCGCTCTTTCTTTTGATTTGATTTCTCCGCTGAAACTAATTAAACTTTATGTTAATTTTGTGCGTGTAATTGTTAAATATTGTACATTATATTTTAGTAAAGATTCGTATATTAAAGGTTTCTTTATACTACAACTGACTCATCCTTTGTCGTGTCGCGCGATTCCTCACGCAGCGCGTTCGCGAACATATTTCTGGTCCTTCGAGCCGGATGTTCTCGCCGGCACCCGCAAGTTTGTGAACGTGACTTCGTGTAGTTCGTGGGTGCTCTTAGTTCACCATGGATGTGAACACGTTGATCGACTGTCAACGTGAGATCCAGGTCCGCATTTCACGTTCCGTGGAATATTTGAAAAAGCTGGGCACCACCAACATCACCGCCAGTGCCGTATCCACACGCACCAGAATCTTAGATCAGCTGTGGACGAAATTCGAGACACAGCATGATCTCATTCGAGCGGCTCTGAAAGAGAAATTTTGCGAGAGCGATTACTACAAGTCGGAGTTACATGGCGATACGGAAAATCTGTACGTTGCACAACGCAGTACTTTAGATAGTTATACCGAACATTTTCGGAAGCCGAACGTGTCTCCATCCGTCGACGTCGCATCAAAGTCTTCGCTGCCGCGCATCAAGTTGCCGCCGTTCTCTGGCGCCTACGCTGACTGGCCATCCTTTCGCGATCTCTTCCTGTCCGTCGTGAGCAGCAATTCAATCTCGAACATTGAGCGCCTTCATCACCTCCGCTCGTGTCTGACAGGTCCGGCTGAAAAGTTGATAAAGTCACTACCTGTCACGAGTGACAATTACGATCGCGCTTGGGCAATCTTGGACAAGCACTACAATAACAAAAGAGAGTTGATCCGCTCCAACTTTGCCACGTTTACCGCCGTGCCAAAGATGAAGGGAGATACCGCCGAGGAGCTGAGCCGCATTCACAACGCTGTCACCGCCGCAGCCAACGCACAGGAGAGCATCGGACGTCCTATCAACTCGCACGGGATGGATCTGTTCAACCACATGGTCGTCGAATTGTTCGACGCACGCACTCGTCTCGAATGGGAGTCAACCACTTCAGACCCCACCGAACCACCACGGAACGAGGCACTTCTCGACTTCATTAGTCGACGGATCTTGACACTCAACGCCGCACGACCGAGGAGTGTCACAAAAGGATCTGGAGAGACATCACGATTCGTCAAAGCGCACGTCACGAAGCACCAAGGCACAGATTCACCTCAGTGTGTACTGTGCCGTGAAAACCATACACTGATGACGTGCAAGGGCTTCAAGGCCAAGACCGCGGTTGAGCGGAAAACGTTCGTGGAGGCCAACCGACTGTGCTTCAACTGCCTAGGCAATCATTTCCTAGCACGGTGTCAGTCAAAAAGGAACTGCCTCACGTGCAACGCGCGACACCACACCATGCTGCACGGGGCAGCCACATCAACACCATCTGCTGAGGCCACTTCACTTGCCACCACACTGGCCACTGCACGGCAAACTGAAACACACAAGGCCGTCCTTCTCGCAACCGCTCGCGTCAAGATCGCTGATCGCTACGGATCACCACACGAGGTTCGAGTCTTGATAGACCAGTGCTCCGAGGTGTCCATCATCTCTGAGGCACTGGCTCAGCGTCTTCGGCTGCCTCGAGCTTCAACAGATCTGTCCATCTTTGGCATCGGAGGGACTCGCTCTGGATCAGCGCGTGGCAAGGTCACGCTAGACATCACATCTGACGTGACCAATGTCGAGCTCCGCGTGGTTGCTTTTGTGCTGCCTCGCATCTCATTGCAGCAAGGCACCTCTCAACGCGAAGATCGTAGCTGGCCTCACATCCAAGGACTTCGACTGGCCGACCCGCGCTTCCTGGACGACGATCCTGCGGAGTTACTTCTTGGAGCAGAAGTTTACGCATTGATCCTCGAGGAAGGTCTTCGCAAGGGCGGATCACGGATGCCGATCGCCCAACAGACGAGCTTAGGATGGATCCTGTCCGGGGGCTACGATGCAGCAGCAACCGAAGGACATCGCAGCACGTTCCAGTGCACCGCAGACCACGACCTCGCTGACATGGTTCGACGCTTCTGGGAGCAGGAACGCGAGCCAGTGGCTGGGACACCGCTTACCGCCGATGAAGCCAGATGCGAGGACATCTACGTGCGCACGGTCACACGCACGTCCAGTGGAAGATACATGGTGAGGCTGCCATTTACTTCACCGCCGCCGACATCGCTCAGCGAGACTCGTCGACCTGCTGAACGCCTACTGGATGCCATGGAGCGGAAAGGAGCACGAGATCGTCGTTTCGGTGACCTCTATCTAGACTTCATGGAGGAATACGAGAACCTACAACATATGGAGAAGGTTAGCACAACTACAACAACTGGCAGCCCCAGGTGTTACTTACCGCATCACGGGGTCCTCAAGGAGTCAAGCACGACCACGAAGCTCAGGGTCGTGTTCAACGGCTCCCAGCGCACACGGTCCGGAGAGTCGCTGAACGCACACCTCCTCACTGGAGCCAATCTCTTGCCAGCACTCGCTGACGTCCTACTTCGTTGGCGTTGGCATCGGTACGTGCTCGTCACGGACATCGAGAAAATGTACCGACAAATCCTCGTGCATCCGGAGGACTGTCGCCTGCAAACTATCCTGTGGCGCCACAACAGCTCTGACGACGTCCACGAGTACGAGCTGAGGACCGTGACCTATGGGCTAGCGTGTGCACCCTTCCTCGCCATCAGGACTCTTCATCAACTCGCAGCAGACGAAGAGGCACGATATCCACGCGGAGTCAAGGCACTGCGACACGACTGCTACGTCGACGACGTGGTCACCGGCGCCGATAGCTTGGAAGATGCTATCGACCTTCAGCAGGAACTACGGAGTCTTTGCACGGCGGGCGGATTTCCTTTGAGAAAGTGGGCCGCCAACGATCCTCAGGTGCTCACAGGAATTCCACCAGAACATCAGCTGCAACGTGGGCCGCACTCATGGGAAGAAGAGAGTCACGCTACCCTGGGCCTCCGATGGCATCCTCAAGCGATTGGTTCTCCTTCTCAATTCGTCCACGTCCAGTCACTGATCTCACAAAGCGACGAGTTCTAGCCAAAACGGCTCGGCTCTTTGATCCGATGGGTTGGCTCGCGCCTGTCGTCATCAGAGCCAAAATTCTGATCCAGACGACGTGGCTTCAACGGCTGGATTGGGACTCTCCGCTGCCTGATCAGGACGCACACCGCTGGAGGCAGTTGTTGGATCAGCTTCCTCTATTGGATAACATCCGTGTAACTCGCTGGCTCAACACCGGAGACGACCATTCGCAACTGCAGCTCCATGGGTTTGCCGACGCTTCAGAGCGAGGATACGCCGCCGTGGTGTACATCCGCAACGCTGCAACAGAAAAAACGTCAATCAACCTATTGATGGCAAAATCGAAGGTCGCGCCTGTCAAGCAGGTGTCGTTACCTCGCTTGGAACTCTGTGCAGCAGCTCTACTTACCACGCTCATGCTCCACGTGCGCGCTACTCTCGGTTTGACAACGACGCCGGTGCATCTGTGGTCAGATTCAAGGGTCACACTTCATTGGATCCGCGGACACAGCACCCGTTGGAAAACCTTCGTCGCCAACCGAGTATCTCAGATCCAGACCCTGCTTCCAGACGCTCAATGGAGACACGTCGCTGGACGAGAGAATCCTGCAGATTGCGCATCGCGCGGTGTTACTCCTGCTGAATTAATCAATCATGAGTTGTGGTGGACAGGACCTACCTGGCTCTCAGGAGACGAGACTGCATGGCCGGGTTCAAACATCGACGTCCCAGAGGATGACCTCCCGGAGCAGCGAGCCACCAGTCTGGTAATCAAGGCACCGGTCTCGGCAGAACCTGACCTCCTCCTCCGGTTTCCAACGCTGCACAGGCTGCTGCGGGTTACGGCATGGTGTCGGCGATGGCTCAATCAGGCGAGACGTGACGCCATACCTGGCCGTCCATTGCATCCGGACGAGCTGGACGTCGCCTTATTTCGATGGCTGCGAGTGGTGCAGGCGCTCCACTTTCCTACGGACGTAGCTGCGGCTTCTGCTGGACGCACTAGCCCACCACGAAGCCACCTAGCGATGTTGAGTCCGGTCCTCGATGATCAAGGCGTGCTGCGCGTCGGAGGACGTCTCAAACATGCTCAGCTACCACTCGACGAGAAACATCCAATGATCATCCCGGCGGCATCATGGTTGACTCGGCTGGTGATCGATTCCTGCCACCGACGGACGCTGCACGGAGGTGTGCAACTGACTCTCGGCCTGCTCCGCCTGCGCTTCTGGGTGCCTCGAGGAAGGACCACCGTCAAACAGCAGCTACACCGATGCATAACCTGCACTCGATGGCGCGCCGCCACACCACAGCCTCCGATGGGTAACCTTCCTCGGGAGCGAGTAACGCCAACTCGACCGTTCCTCAGCACCGGCTTGGACTACGCGGGACCAATCCTCCTCCGGACCAGCAAGGGGCGTGGACACCGTGCGCACAAGGGGTACATCGCAGTCTTCGTCTGCTTCTGGTCAAAGGCCGTTCACTTAGAAGTCGTCTCAGACTACACCTCGGAGGCCTTCATCGCCGCTCTGCGCCGCTTCGTCTCCCGCAGGGGCCTGTGTGCTGAGATCTACAGCGACTGTGGCACGACTTTCATCGGAGCAGATCGGACGCTGCGAGGTCTCTTCAACGCAGCGACAGCCGAAGGTCAAAGTGTCATCCTTGCCGCCACCGCTCAAGGAATCCGCTGGCACTTCAACCCGCCAGCGGCCCCGCATTTTGGTGGTTTATGGGAGGCCGCCGTAAAGTCGACCAAGTTCCACCTCCGTCGGGTGATCGGCGCGACCACCCTCACGTTCGAGGAGTTGAGCACACTCCTTGCACAAATTGAAGCCTGTCTTAACTCACGTCCGTTGCAGGCACTCTCAGATGATCCAGAGGACGTCTCGGCGCTGACCCCCGGTCACTTCCTCATCGGGACACCGCTCCTCGCCTTGTCAGAACCGTCATTGACAGAGCAGACGGTGTCCACCTTGTCACGTTGGCGTCATCTGCAGCGGATGAGGGATCACTTCTGGCAGCGATGGTCATCCGAATACATGCACGGACTCGCCCCACGCACCAAGTGGCTCAAGGATGCACCTGCACCCCACGTCGGCGATCTCTGCCTCGTTCGCTCCGAGATCACCCCCCCGAACCGATGGCCCCTCGCTCGCATATCGCGTTTGCACCCCGGGGACGATGGAGTTACACGCGTAGTGACGATCCGAACGGCCACGTCCGAGCTCGTGCGCCCACTCGTCAAGCTCGTGTTTCTTCCGGGCGTGAACGACGTTCCTACACCGCACGTTGACACATAGCATCACTCACTACACGATCATCACGTCATGCACCATATCAACTGTCACGCTTCACTCATTTCACTCACCACCTCACTATAACACTTGTCTCGTTTTCACCGCTTACTGCATCGTTCACTCGCCGTTCACATCTGCCACATACTTTCGCCGTTTCAGTTGATCGATTCGCAACACGTGATCACCACGTGTTTTCGTCGACTCAGCTGATCGACTCACAACACGCGATCATCACGTGAATTTCGCCGCGCCGACACGAGCCCGCCCCACCATCGATCGTTATCGGAATGTGATCCGAGCCGGAAACATCATCAACCTTTTGTCACGTTGCGCCAAGGCGGGCGGGATGTTTGAGATGCAAAATAAATCTTATCGTCTGTTAATTACTTCGGCAGTAAACCGTTATTAGGATTTTCAATTTATACAAAATTTGATCTCGAATTTTGTTATTTGGTAAATTCTGGAACCATCGATCAGTAATAATAAAGTCACGTTTGTTTTGTATAATAGAATAAAAAGAAGTCATAAATTTACAGCTGTCACATAAAAAACGCTCAAATATACAGGTTTGTCCGGAAAGTAATGCGTCGCATTTTTTTAAAAAAGAATTTATTGATCGCATAGGTAAAACAACTTAAAATTGTTCGAAGTATGACCCTTCTGCGTCAATACATTTTTGCCAACGCGATTTCCATGCGTCATAAGATTTCTGGAACTCCTTGACTGGGATGCTGTTCAGGGAGGCCGTCGAAGTAGCTTGTACGTTGTCAACCGACTCGAGCTGTTGTCCTTTGAGCTCCCTTTTCAGCCGAGGAAATAAAAAAAAGTCCGCCGGGGCCAAACTTTCTTGAGCATTTCAAAAGTTTCCAGCGGCGTCTTGTCCAGCTTCACGCAAAACTTTATCGCATAGCGTTGCTCTATCGTTCTCTCCATCACAAGTTCGACGCGACCACTAAGCAGAGGTTCACAGAATAAGCCGTCCTAACCCTCCAAGCGCATGGAAACAATTGAGCGACCTACCGTTGGAAAGCTAAGGGTACCCCCCTTCCTCCCCAACCGGTCCCATCGCTCTGCGATGTATAGTCGTGTCACAAAAAAATGCGACGCATTACTTTCCGGACAAACCCTGTACAAACAAGTAACGGTGTCGCAACCGTTCCGCCGAATAATTACATGCTATTGAGCATGCGCTACTTTAAAAATCACGCAAATTATTGGCGCTTCACGCGAAGATGGGCTTCGCTCCAAAAATTATAAAAGAGGAGCTCACCCCGGCGTAGGGGCCTTATCGCTTTCCGCCGTGTACGCATAAGTCAAACCGCCTCAAAAAAAACCGCAGAACATTTATATCGACAACCGCCGCTCTTTCTTTTGATTTGATTTCTCCGCTGAAACTAATTAAACTTTATGTTAATTTTGTGCGTGTAATTGTTAAATATTGTACATTATATTTTAGTAAAGATTCGTATATTAAAGGTTTCTTTATACTACAACTGACTCATCCTTTGTCGTGTCGCGCGATTCCTCACGCAGCGCGTTCGCGAACAAAGGCCTAAATTTTAAAACTAAATCATGAATAAGTTTTCTACAATTTTTTTCGCAAATCTGACAGTTTATTGTAATTAAATAACTTACATTATTTTTAAACACTACATGCTACTGAAATTACTAACTTGAAATTTATTAAAATATTTTTATGTAAAAGTTATTTACCAGCTCATCATCGATCAAGCCAGCCCAAACATTGACTTTAAATCGATCTTGAGATTTATTATCCCACGTCAAAAAAGGATTTTCAACGCCATAATAATGATAATTATGAGAGTTGAATGTTCCATCTTGTGTAAAAGTGCATTCGTCAGTCCATAGTACACGACGAGGAAATAATGGATTCTCGGATGATGAATACAAACGGATCATATTAAAATAATTTTCCATAAAATATGCCATGATTCACGATGTTTCTGTACATTATTAAAGAAATAAAAAATTTAATTTTTTGAATAATAAATTATAAATTTATTTCTAAATAAAGTATTACACATATAAAAGGCTAATAAAAGCAGAAGTAATATTACCGTTATATAAATTAATTTATTACATTTAATCAATATACATATACTGATAGAAATAATAAAGTTTAAATTAATATAAAATTATAAAAATAAACTCGAAAGTTAAAACAAATGAAAAAGCGAACGTTTCGATCCAATTTTTCGGATCTTCTTCAGCGCAGTACACAAAGCAAATTAAAATCACAAAAGTCTAAGGTTCATGTTTAACGTATAAAAGTCTAATAAACATATTTAAACGCGGTTACATCAATAAACAAAATAAAACGTCGTAAGATTAACACTAAGATGATTCTTACTAATCCATCACATTTACGTAACTGAAGAAGATCCGTGTTCGCAAGCGGACTTGCAGCGAGCAACTTCAAAAGAACTTGCACTTTTATTCTCACTACTCGGATAACGCAAGCGATTATAACAATTATTTCGATTCCGGAGTTAAGAACTATTATGCCCCGACGCATCTTGCCGGCGAAAATCGTGTCAGAATTCGAATCGATGTCCAAAGGGTAGCCGTATCCGTAATAATTTTCGCGTGTACAGATTCTCGGTTATCTTGTCGATTATCGAAAGGCGACTGCGAATCGCGCTCGACTTTTGCGCTTTATAAGGACACTGATCCTTCTAGAAAGATCCAGCGGGAAAACAAACCGACAACAAATTTTGTTATTTGGGTCTTTCTAGAAGGAACGAAAAGGTATGTTTTAAACAAATATTTATCACGGCTGGCGGTATACAATGGCCCGAACGGACGCGTTCGCTGGCCGTTGCGCTGCGGCTTATTGTTAGTGACAGCCGTCTCTCTCTTTCCCGCTAGCGCGCATCGACTCGCAGCTAGAGCGGGAAAGAGAGAGACACTATTTCGCGCTCTTGTCCTTTTTTTCGCGCTGATCAGAACAATCCGAAAAATTGGATCGAAACGTTCACTTTTTCATTTGTTTTAACTTTCGAGTTTATTTTTATAATTTTATATTAATTTAAACTTTATTGTTTCTATCAGTATATATTGATTAAATGTAATAAATTAATTTTTATAACCGTAATATTACTTCTGCTCTTATTAGCCTTTTATATGTGTAATGCTTTATTTGAATTAAAGAGCATTTAATTAATATATTTTTAATTTTAGATACGTTGATGATATCCTAATTTGTATTCCCGAAGACAGTTATTAATGTACTACATAGTTTTAATAGTTATCACGATAGATTAAATTTCACGATGGAACGATAGGATAATCATAGAATAAATTTCTTGGACATATCTGTCATAGTTATTAACAATATAATATAGATTGATTGGTTTCATAAAAAAACTTTTTCAAGAAGAACTTTATCTTTTTTCTCAAATCATCCCATATGTCACAAAAAAAGGCGTTATTTATAATTTAGTGGACAAGGCAATATTATTATCTCATCCGATTTTCCATAGAAAAAATATAGGGTTCGTTATTAATATGCTAATTGACAATGGTTTTCTTCTTGACCTCATTTTCAATGAAACAAACTGTAGAATAAAATTTTTAATAATGAATAAATTAAATGTAAATATTTTTACTAAGACACATATTGACAACCTTATAAAGGAAGATAAAAATAATAAATTTATCGCGATTCCATATATTGAAGGAATATCGGAATTAATTGCGTCTTTAATTAAAAAATCTAACATAAAAATAGGATACAGATGCATAAAAAGATTGAACAGTTTCATTAAACCTCAAAAAGATAAAAATGAACAATTTAATAACTCTAATGTAATATATAAAATAAATTGTAGATATTGTAAAGCTACATACATTGGACAAACAAAAAGAAAACTTTGCACCCATCTTAAGGAGCATAGGAATAATATTAAGTCGGACACAACAAAACTATCAGTGATCTCAAAACATATGTACTTTTCACATTCTTTTGAAAAATTCAAAAATTTTAGATTATGAAAGTAATTATCAAAAAAGATTAGTATCGGAAATGTTACATATCAAGTAACATATAAATAGTATCAATTTAAAAAAAGATATTGAGTCATTGGAAAATTGTTATTTTGATGTTCTAGAAAAATTATCGGTAACATGATAGGGTTTGTCTTTTGTGCTGACTTATTATTATATTAGTATCATTTGAGATAATCAGAATAACACATCAAGAATATGTGTATAAAAAGAATAATAGTGTTTTGCTACAAGACAAATTATATTCCGAAAGCTAAAATAAATACGTCAGTTTTTGTTTTTATGATATATTTTATGATAGTTACTTATGGCTAATTATTTAATAAGAGGTAACTTTTATTGACTTCTGATCAAATAAAAAAATTCAAAAGAAAATAAGGGACACCATAATAATAATTTGTGACCACGCCTGCTTTCTAATATTATTGTAAAATTTAAGCTGACTATTATAAAATTTCAATAGGGATATGTTAATATTGTAAGCGAGAGTTCAAATGATTAGTAATCTGCGTTAATCGGTTTTAGTCATTGATAGGAAATAGAACATGTTTTAACCGAATTCGAGACTGAATGTAAAAATGTTATTTTGTCATCTAACAACAATTTATTATATTGAGAAAGATTGCCGTGCAGTCGAAACGTTTATGTATATTACGATTAATATTAATTTGATTTAAGTTTTTAGTCTCAATAAATGTTTTAATAGTTTAACAATTTGACACTGTAATTGTTATTGCTCGTTTTAGTTGGCTTTAGTTTTATTTATTATCCCTTTTTATAATTTATATTTATACGAACCTAATGATTTTATGCATGTATATATTTTATAAAATTGTAATTTTTAGATAATAATCCTTAAGGTTGCCAGTAATAATTGTAATTTTTAGACTACTAATTTATTTCTCTTAATAAATAAATTAAATTTAAATAAAATATAATTGGTTGATTTTTTAAATAAGTATAAAAACAAATATGTGAATTATTTATTAATAATAACTGTTTATTATAGCAGTTATAATTAAAGTATGCATTTAAAATTTATAATCTGTTTTACAAATCCGAGAAAAAAATTCATATACATATATTAATACATTATTGAAGAGGATATCATACAGCAATTATACAAGTATAATACTAATACAAATCAATAAATTAAAGAGCTGACTTAAAAATATTCTTATTATCAAATCAATAAAGTTTAATTTTTTATGAGCGTCTTATGAATATTCTTTAAAAATATATCAAATATTTCACACAGGCCATACTTATATAATATTATATGTTCATAATACATTCGAAAAAATGACAGCTTGTTATTATGTGTTGCAATTATTCAAGTAAAAATTATTATTTTAATTTTTTATTTGTATAATATATAAAAATTTATTTTTATTTTTGAAATTTGCATATAGCTAATTTGTATGTAATTTGTACGTATATAATTATAATTTAAGAAAATAATTGAGACAACTTGGTAATATTTAAGTTACATTGTATTTACAATTTACTGAATTAATATCGCATAACTGATTGAATGTTTCTGAAATCCAAATATTCATAGAACGTATTTATTTATAGAATTTTCACTTTTGTCATATACGTACATTGTGTCATATACATAATTCACTAGGTGGGAAAGACTCAGATAAAAGCAATAATATATGTTGCCTTGCATGTCACGAGTTAGTGACATTAACGCAAAATAACGCGTCGATACGTTCGTTTGTCAGCAAGTTGCCAAGTATATACGTACAATGGCATTCGAAAGTGTTGTGTTAATGACTTTTGCGTGGATTGCCATAATATATCTTATCTTTCATTTTCGCCGGTTAGTTTTTGTCAAAATGGTGAAAAACATACCCGGTCCAAAGGCATTGCCACTCGTCGGGAGCGTCTTCCATTTGTTAAATAGAAATGCTGACGGTAATGAGAGACAATGATACGTTAGATTTATTTTCAAAAAAACGACAAAGAAATTAATTAATGTTAATATTTAATTGTTATATTAATATTTATATTAATATAATATATATATATATTTATATATTATTACATATTTTATATATATATATTATTATATTATATGTATATTCCCAGCAAACACAGTATATAAATGTTATATACTCAAGCATGTTACATGTAACGTATATGTTAGTTGTAATTTCCCACTCATAGATGTAACATTTTTAATATTACATATATTACATTGTAGTTATATTGTCATTATATTTCAAGATAGCACTGACTTATCAATACATCAATGTGCTATTTGGTATATAATTACAATATAACTACAATGTAATATATGTTATATTAAAATGTTACATCTATAAGTGGGAAATTACAACTAACATGGATGTTACATATAACGTACACGTTATATTACTTGTTACATTCCGTTTTATTATAGCAATGTAACAATTATATATCGGTGTTTGCTGGGTTATTTTATAATATTATATTAATTGATTATACAATTATAATAAGGCATGCGCATGACTATATTTTTCTTAATCTTAAAAATAATTTTTTTTTAGAAATTTTTGGTTTTCTACTTAGTTTTGCGAGAGATTATTCGTCCCCGTTTCAAGTTTGGATGGGTAACAAATTATTTATTGGAATATATGAGCCAGATCAAATAAAGGTAGAAGAAAACTCTTTATATACAGGGTTTGTCCGGAAAGTAATGCGTCGCATTTTTTTGTGACGCGACTATACATCGCAGAGCGATGGGACCGGTTGGGGAGGAAGGGGGGTACCCTTAGCTTTCCAACGGTAGGTCGCTCAATTGTTTCCATGCGCTTGGAGGGTTAGGACGGCTTATTCTGTGAACCTCTGCTTAGTGGTCGCGTCGAACTTGTGATGGAGAGAACGATAGAGCAACGCTATGCGATAAAGTTTTGCGTGAAGCTGGACAAGACGCCGCTGGAAACTTTTGAAATGCTCAAGAAAGTTTTCGGGGACGATTGCCTTTCCAAATCGCAGTCAAACAGATGGCACAAGATGTTTAGAGAAGGTCGGAAGGAGGTCGCCGACGAGGCCCGCGCAGGACGCCCGTCAACATCGCGAACGGACGACAATGTGACTCGTGTGCGCCAATTATTGAATTCAGACCGTCGAATGAATGTTCGCTTAATGTCGGAATTATTGAACTTGCCGAAAACGATTGTTCACGAGATTGTATCGGAAGACTTGGCCATGCGGAAGATTTGCGCAAAACTTGTGCCCAGAGTGTTGACCGATGCGCAAAAGCAACACCGAGTGGAAGTTTGTGAAGAACTCAAGCAACTCTGTGCAGATAATCCCAATTTCCGGCGGACTTTTTTTTATTTCCTCGGCTGAAAAGGGAGCTCAAAGGACAACAGCTCGAGTCGGTTGACAACGTACAAGCTACTTCGACGGCCTCCCTGAACAGCATCCCAGTCAAGGAGTTCCAGAAATCTTATGACGCATGGAAATCGCGTTGGCAAAAATGTATTGACGCAGAAGGGTCATACTTCGAACAATTTTAAGTTGTTTTACCTATGCGATCAATAAATTCTTTTTTAAAAAAATGCGACGCATTACTTTCCGGACAAACCCTGTACGTGTTCAATGATTTATATGTATATAAAATATTTCTTTTATATATTATAATTTTTTTTAATAATTTTACAATTATATCGCGATTTTATATCTCCATTTTAACTAAAATAATTTTTCGAAATTTCTACATATATGTTAAAATAATATCCAAATAAATACGCAATAGAGATATTAATAAATTTGTATGCGACGTTATAGATCATATTACAAAGTGGCAATTGCTTAAATAAGGGTAAGCTGTATAAATTTATTGAACCAGCACTTGGTAAGGCATCATTGCTAACGTGTCCTGGTAAGATTATTATATATTTTTATAGTATATATATTATATTTTTATTATATTTTTAAAAATCAAACTTAAGTCGAATTATTTGTAATAATATAATTTACATAACAAAAGTAGTTATAAACAACTTATATATTTTTTTTTCTTTGACTCCAATATTTATTACAATCTGTCCATTCTGCATTGGACATTCAGTAAATTGTATGTTATTAGAGGCCTGAAGAATTTTGTCCACTGACAAAATTCAGTTTGTTCACGACGCTAGTCGCCGGTCAAAAGATCATGTGGTAATCTCTTCTTTAGTCTTTGTGAAGTGGAGTTGTTGAACATAAGTTGGTTTACTAGTTGATTTGGATGATTCATAATCCTGTTTCTGTATTGTTTAATCTTTGTTACTATTTCCTCTTTCACCAAGGGTATGTTTAAATCTCTATGCAGTACCTCATTAGGAACAAACCAAGGTGCATTTGTTATGATTCTTAATATTTTTGATTGAAACCTTTGCAGAATTTCAATATTAGAGTAAGATGCGGTGCCCCATAGTTAAATACCATAAGTTCATATAGGCTTTAAAATGACTTTGTATAATAGTAATTTGTTTTCAAGTCTTAACTGCAATCTATGTCCTATCATCCAATACATTTTTCGTAATTGGAGGCCAAGTTGCTTTCTTTTAGTGAAGATGTGATGTCTCTAAACTAGCCTTCTGTCTAGATGGATTCCAAGGTACCTGACATGTTCAGCTTGAAGAATTTCAGTATTATTGATTCTAATTGGAGGGCAGGTATTGTGTCTTGTAGTAAAGGTGACATGAATTGACTTGTTTTCGTTAACCTTGATCCTCCAATTCTTCATCCATGTGGATATTTTATTCAAGCTATTTTGCAGTATTGTAGAAGCTGTTTCTGGGTTTGAGTGGGAAGCTAATAATGCAGTATCATCTGCAAATGTTCCTGTCATAGTAGTTTTATCGGTAGGAAGATCAGCCGTGTAAAGTAAGTACAGTGGGCCTAAAACGCTGCCTTGTAGAACTCTAGCAAAAATTAGGTAGAGGCCAGTTACTGATTCTCCGTAATCAACTTGGAAATACCTGTTATTTAGGTATGACTTCAAAATTTGATGGAAGTTTGGAAGGTTGGTTTTGATTTTGTATAGGAGTCCATCATGCCATACCTTGTCAAAAGCCTGGGAGGCGTCCAGGAAAGCAGCAGAGCAGAAATCCTTGTTCTCTATTGATTTATGTATTTTGGAAACAAGTCTGTGCACTTGCTCAGTTGTACTGTGGGACTGTCTAAACCCGAATTAATGTTTTGGAATCACATTCTTTTCTTTTATAACAGGTAGAAGTCTCGTACTCAGAAGTGTTTCCAGTATTTTGGCAGGTATAAGTAACAGACTGATTGATCTGAACGACTTAGGGTCCTCAGGTGCTTTATCCGGTTTAAGTATCATTTTAACCTGGGTAAACTTCTATTGAGAGGGAAAAACATTGAGTCTTAGAACGGCGTTAAAAATTTGTGTTAGGTAAATAATACCAGATTCAGGTAGTTCTTTTAGAATTTTACCAGTAATAAGATCATATCCGGAAGCTTTTTTACAATCCAGTTTCTTGACAATGTTCCTAACCTCCGTTTTCGTGAAATTTTTTATTATTTCTTGGAAGTCATCTGGGGATTGCAGATAACGAGTAACATTTATTATGTGCCTTGAAGAACCTTAATAAGGGTGGGACGTAAATACCTTACTTAAATGTTCAGCAAATGTAGCAGCTTTTTCAGAATCATTTCGGGCCCATCTCCCATCCTCGCAACGCAGAGGAAAAGATATCTTTGTAGGCTGTTTTAGCTTTTTTGTGGCTTTCCATAGTAAGTAGTCACTGGCTTTCGTAGCGTCAAGTTGCTATAAATAGTTTTGCAGATCTATATTTCTTTTAGTTTCCAGACATTTTTTAATTTCTTTTATTAAGCGGTTTAGTTTATTTTTTCTATGAGAACATCGAGATAGTTGCCATTGTTTTCTTAAATGTCTCTTTGTCGCTACTTTCTCTAATATTGTTTTAGAATAGTTCAATCTACTATTGAAGGTTTTGCAGGACGGAGATGAGTCCCAAGCAGCTTTCTGCAGCGTTGAGTTGAAGTATTCCACTGCTTTCTCTATATTCTCTTCAGATTTAAGTAATATTTTTGTATAAGAGTTTTAACAAGGCTCTGTAATATAAATATAAATTTAACGTATAAGACGGGCAACAAGAGCCAAATCGCGGATGACAATGCGTTATCCTAACGAAACTAAATAATTTTTCGTTAGAATTAAATACCGGTTGAAATTAAATCTCAAAATATGAGATTATTTCATATTTAAAATCTTGGCCGTGTCCAAGTAAAAATTTGGTGCCTTGTGCACCGGTATTTAATTCTAACGAAAAATTATTTAGTTTCGTTAGGATAACGCATTGTCATCCGCGATTTGGCTCTTGTTGCCCGTCTTATACGTTAAATTTAATATTTTTGTGTTTAGAGAATTGGTAAGAAGATCACGGAAATAATTCCAATCAGTCTTTTTGTTGTGTAGAGTACATTTCCTAGATTTGATCAAAATTTTGCTGGTCAATGTTAATAGTACTGGTAAGTGGTCCGAGGATAACTCTAGACAATTGGAACTTTCAAAATAGTTTTTTGAGAGTCCTTTTACTACGAAAAAGCCAATCAAGTCACGACTTTTTTCCTATCCGTAGGCCAGTAAGTTGGATTGCCCATTGATATAACTCTCAGACCAGAAGTTTCTACTGCTTTAAGTAGCACACGTCCTCTAGAAAAAGTGAAGCGGGATCCCCAGTTAACATGCTTAGCGTTAAAGTCACCTCCAGTTATGAATTTATTTTCTAAGGTTTTTAAAAAATCGCTAAAATGTTCTGCTTTAGTCGTGTGTTTCGATGGATAGTAGATAGCCGCAATGGTGATAGGACTAGTCCAGTCCTCTACGACAATACTAGTAGCTTGAATCTTTTCCTTGCGGTAGGAAGAAGACTGAAAGTGTTTTATTTTATTTTTAATAACAATAGCCGTACCACCATGAGCTGTGCCGTCAGGGAAAGTCGTGTGGTAGAAACTGTAGTTTGGAAATTTGATGAAACATCTATGTATGAAGTGTCTCAGACAGCAGCATTACATCAATGTTGTGAGAATTGAGGAAGACTTTAAGTTCCTCAGCATGTTGTGACAACCCATTTGCATCCTGTGTGTGACCATACCTTTGACAAGTAGCACATTGAGGAATTTGTCTCTTTGGTCTGGGAGCTTTGAATACAACTCTGCAGTTTAAAAGGTACTTAATTTGATATATTTGTTTATTCTCTGGAACAGGTTTTAGGTCTATGAAAAAGATGGGCAAGGAATTTTTTGTTATCCTGCTCTTGATATCCCATATATTAGATATCTGATGCCCTTTTTCTTCAATAGCTAGTTTGAGGTCTTCTGGGCTTGTTGACGGGTGGACGTTTTTCAATATAACTCAAAAACTTCTGTCCTGTTTAAGTTTATAAGTATGAAACTCCGTTTCTTTTTTTTGCAGTTCCTTAATTATAATGGAATAATCTTGGGTGGTTTTAGGCTGGATCTTAATTTCCTCATCACGTAAGACTCTTATCATATAATTATTCTTGGCAATATCATTTAGCAAGTTTGTGAGGGAAGTAATATTTTTAACTTGACCTACGTAGATCGGTGGCGGCTTAGGCAAAATCTTTGCAGTTTCAGTGTTCGATAGATCATCATTTTCAAGAACATTAAATCTGTTTGATGTAAATGCAGAAGTCTTTAGCCAGTAGTTGTTTGACTTTGTCTGCTTTAGGATTCTTATCTGGCTTTCTGGGCTACTTCAAGTCCTATTTTTACCTGATACTTTTTTCCATTTTCTGGCATCTGATGTAAACGGTTGGTCTTTGGGCTTATAGTTTGAATCTCTATTGAACAAATTTTTTAGAGAGTCCTCGTTTCCACTTGTTAGGGACACATTGCCGACTGAGGAGGATCTCTGCCTATTTATGGGATGATCCAAATTTGTCCCTTCTAGTTTAGGATGGACTAGGATGTTGGTTGGTTGATTTGGCAACAATAAGTCTTTTCCAGTAATCTTTTCGTAAAGCAATGCTTGCCCCCCCTCCCCCCCAGAATCCATGGAACCTACCTCCCTGGAAGGTGGATTTTCCAGAACTGGGTCTGGGCTGCCACCTGGGGTAATAGTATTCTTACACGTTTTATTCATTGCTTATTTGCTAGTTTTGGTCCACCCCGGGTATTTTATTTCCTCGGTATCCTCCGAAATTCGGTGAACATTCCCCAATCCGCCACCGTAGGGAGGCGCCCGATGGGGGACTAGCAACCCCGCACGAGAACTTATATATAAGATTTAAAAATAATACACTATTAAAAAAAGGGGTAAATACTTGTCATACCCTAAAAACCATTTTCAAAAACATCTTTTTATCTTTCTTGTCCTGAAAAATTTAAGTTTAGTTTCAAAATTGTAACTCGGTCAAAAAATTGTTAGGGTATGAAAAGCGGTACTTATTTTCGGTCAAAAAATTGTTAGGGAATGAAAAGCGGTACTTATTTTTTTAAGTACCTATAATTAATTTACGTTAATCTTAATTATAACTATATATATTTTCGAAGAAAAGATCGAAAAATACAATCAAATAAAAATATATATAATTATAGATATAATGTATCTATTTATTTATTTTTTTCTTATACAATCTCTGTCCATATATATATATATATATAGGAAGATATATAAGAAGAGAAAATAATACAAATTTTTGCATCGTTTTTTAGAATAAATAAAATTTGAAGAATTAAGAAAAATTATATAATAATATATTTTCATAATAAAACACTTTTCTCGACCAAACTGGCAATATTCTTTTATTAAATAAGAATCACTACGTTTCGACCTTAGGTTTAGGTCAAGTGATTTGCGAGATGTTATAATTAGTCAGTAAAACAAGAAATCATTGTGTCAAATGACAACGCGTCGTGTACATTAAACGATGTAAGAAGGAATAATATATTTTGCATATAATTATAGGCAAGTTTTTCTTTTATTTCTTTAAATTGTGCTTCTCTATTAAAAAATGCAAAAATTATTCTTCTCTTCTCATTTTTCTAGTATTCATTTTATTTTTTTGTATACATATATACAAAAATTGTACAAAAAGAAGAAAACATATAAACATATTTAATATATATAATTATATATTGTTATATTTGATTAGCTATAAAATTTTTTCATGATTTATTTACATTCTGACAGCAGTACTGCAATTTTTTAAAAACAGAGAAAAAAAAAACACACTTACTAAGATGTTCTTTTTTTAATATAGTATGTTTTTTATTCTTTCTTTATATAATCCTTTTCAATATTTATTTTAGCATCTGTATGGATTAAGAATCGAAAAATATTAGTGTCAGGCTTTAATTCAAATATGTTACAAAGCTTTTTTGATATATTTGTCGAACAATCTGTAATATTTACGGATCAATTGGAAAAAATTGAATTAAATGGAAATGAGATTGTATTAGCTGAACCTATATTGCAGTGCACTGCAACTATTGCATGTGGTAAGGCCAAATATAATTAATGTGTATTGTGTGTTGTGTAATTTATGTTTTAATTATTACCACATATAATAAAAGACAAGATCTTAAAAAAATATTTATTATATAAATAAAAGAATCAAAAGTAAAAAAGAATCAAAAGTTTTACAAAAAATAAAGAAAGATGTAATATACATGTAAAAAATTAAATAAATACTAACTTAAAAAAGTAATTAAAATTTAATATTTTGAAGAAATATTATATAGAAATATGTAATAATTTATTAAAGTCATATTTATTAATTAAGAGTTTAACTAGGCTCTGTAATATATAAATATAAATTTAACATATATAAGATAGGCAATAAGAGCCAAATCGCGGATGACAGTGCGTTATTCTAAACGAAACTAAATTTTTTCGTTAGAATTAAATACCTGTGCACAAGGCACCAAATTTTTACTTGGACACGGCCAAGATATAAAATTGGAATAATCTCTACAAGAGATTTTTAATTCCATGTATCCCCTATTCCCCCTAAAGAAATAAAGTGCGAGAGAAAAATATAGATCCGAAAGTCGCAGAATCGGGAATCGAACCCGAGACCTTTCGCTTGCCGGGCGACTGCTCTTCCAACTGAGCTATTCAGATCCTTTCGATTCTATACTTTTCTCTGTTTATATATATTAATGTTGGTAAATAAACGCCTTTAAGCCAGCGTGTATAAATTAAGAGTTTAACTAGGCTCTGTAATATATAAATATAAATTTAACATATATAAGATAGGCAATAAGAGCCAAATCGCGGATGACAGTGCGTTATTCTAAACGAAACTAAATTTTTTCGTTAGAATTAAATACCTGTGCACAAGGCACCAAATTTTTACTTGGACACGGCCAAGATATAAAATTGGAATAATCTCTACAAGAGATTTTTAATTCCATGTATCCCCTATTCCCCCTAAAGAAATAAAGTGCGAGAGAAAAATATAGATCCGAAAGTCGCAGAATCGGGAATCGAACCCGAGACCTTTCGCTTGCCGGGCGACTGCTCTTCCAACTGAGAAAAGTATAGAATCGAAAGGATCTGAATAGCTCAGTTGGAAGAGCAGTCGCCCGGCAAGCGAAAGGTCTCGGGTTCGATTCCCGATTCTGCGACTTTCGGATCTATATTTTTCTCTCGCACTTTATTTCTTTAGGGGGAATAGGGGATACATGGAATTAAAAATCTCTTGTAGAGATTATTCCAATTTTATATCTTGGCCGTGTCCAAGTAAAAATTTGGTGCCTTGTGCACAGGTATTTAATTCTAACGAAAAAATTTAATTTCGTTTAGAATAACGCACTGTCATCCGCGATTTGGCTCTTATTGCCTATCTTATATATGTTAAATTTATATTTATATATTACAGAGCCTAGTTAAACTCTTAATTTATACACGCTGGCTTAAAGGCGTTTATTTACCAATATTAATATATATAAACAGAGAAAAGTATAGAATCGAAAGGATCTGAATAGCTCAGTTGGAAGAGCAGTCGCCCGGCAAGCGAAAGGTCTCGGGTTCGATTCCCGATTCTGCGACTTTCGGATCTATATTTTTCTCTCGCACTTTATTTCTTTAGGGGGAATAGGGGATACATGGAATTAAAAATCTCTTGTAGAGATTATTCCAATTTTATATCTTGGCCGTGTCCAAGTAAAAATTTGGTGCCTTGTGCACAGGTATTTAATTCTAACGAAAAAATTTAGTTTCGTTTAGAATAACGCACTGTCATCCGCGATTTGGCTCTTATTGCCTATCTTATATATGTTAAATTTATATTTATATATTACAGAGCCTAGTTAAACTCTTAATTTATACACGCTGGCTTAAAGGCGTTTATTTACCAACATTAATATATATAAACAGAGAAAAGTATAGAATCGAAAGGATCTGAATAGCTCAGTTGGAAGAGCAGTCGCCCGGCAAGCGAAAGGTCTCGGGTTCGATTCCCGATTCTGCGACTTTCGGATCTATATTTTTCTCTCGCACTTTATTTCTTTAGGGGGAATAGGGGATACATGGAATTAAAAATCTCTTGTAGAGATTATTCCAATTTTATATCTTGGCCGTGTCCAAGTAAAAATTTGGTGCCTTGTGCACAGGTATTTAATTCTAACGAAAAAATTTAGTTTCGTTTAGAATAACGCACTGTCATCCGCGATTTGGCTCTTATTGCCTATCTTATATATGTTAAATTTATATTTACATATTTATTAATTTTATTCATTGTAATTGAAAATTTATACAAAGCTCAAATCTAATTTTAATATAGAAAACATTTGAAGTACTAGGAAAGTTCCATAATATATACAAAATATATATTAGATTACATATATACATTAAGATATGATGTTATACATAAAATTATAATGAGAATTTTATCATAAGTCGTGAATTTTATAGATATATAGATCATGGTTTTTTACAACATAAAAGTATATTTTTTATCGTCTTGGAAAATATTGTTTTTTGAAGTCCACTTTATACGGTCTATAATTCGCGATAAAACTCGAAGTAGAATTTTAGGTCACATATCTTAATACATATATGTATATTCAAATGTAAAGTAATATACTAGTTTAAATGTTTGTTATTTTATACGATAAAATCATAAATACAATAAAATTCTGTATCCAATTTTAAGTCGCAAACAGATCATCTAAATCTAATATTCAAAGTGTTTCAAGAATGTTAACTTAAAATTTAGAATCTTATATGTATTGAATAAATTTAAAAAATATTTCTACGTGATATAATATTAGTAAACGGTCTGATTTGTAATTTTAACAGGTACAATTACAGATATAATATAACTCTGAATTAATTAATTATAATCAAAAATTTAATTAAGTTTCTTCATTTTCTTTTATATTATTTATATTATTTTATTTTATATTATTTATATCATTTTTAGCTATAATTTTAGATGTTAATGCTTGAGAAAAAAGTTTATATTATAAATATTTACAGGGTGTTCGAGATCTACCGTATTACACGTTAATGGGAGATTCCTGAGGCGATTTGGAGACAATTTTTCCTCAGCGAAAAATGTCGAGAAAGGTCATCATTTTTTTAATTTTTAGAATCATGTATATCTTTGTAACTAAACTTTAAATTAATATTCTATTAAAGTAAACTTTACCTAAAATTAACTAAAAAATGTAGTTTTGTTAATAATTTATTTTTATAAGGCTTAGTTAACAAAAAAACTTTTATTTTTAATCCTTTATAAGTCGAAAATTATTGGTGCCTGGACATTTTCGCTGAGGAAAAATTGTTTCCAAATCGCCTCAGGAATTTCCCATTAATGTGTGATACGGTAAGTCTGGGACTCCCTGTATAAGAGATACCTATAAATGTATAATAGGTACCTATAAATTAACCATATACAGGTACACATAGTATGCACACAAGTATACAAAAATTATTACTCACAAGGGAACAGTTAGAAGTGTCTCTCACCGATTTTAATGAGTCTTGAATATGTTGTATAGCATTGAAAAATATTAGACCCGTATTTTTTGTAGCTGCATATCTCGTTTAGGGGGTAAACACTCTCTTGAGAAAAAAACGGTTTTTTAATTTTTGAGCTAATACCGTCGAAACCGTAAAAGATATTAAAAAATGTTTCAAGTAAAAGTTTTATGGTTTTCAATATGGTTCTTTAAAACAGTGTAAAAGAATTTTCCAAATATTTCAAATTTTCCGAAATTCCCCCCTCCCTCTATAATTTTTGAAAATTAAAAATTTTTTTTATAAAAATTCTGAAAGTTTATTTAATTCCAAATCCAACCATATATAAAAAAGTGTTATTCCGACAACGCATTTTTGAGAAATAAACTAGAAATACCACTATACACGCTCCATCTGCCTCGTATCTGTCAGACGCTCGCTACTCATGATAACCGTCTTTCCTTCGTAATTTCATAGAAAGAATGAAATATCGATACAAAATTTGTATATGGTATTGTATTTAATAATTAAATTTATAAAGATCTATATATTTAAAAATATAAAAATTTATAAAAAATAATTTAAATTTATATATATTAAAATTTTTTATATATTAATAAATCTATATAAAAAAAACTGTTAATCTCGGCTCGAATTATTGTGTTACAATAAAAATAAAATCTCGACGGCAATCGGAGCCTGTGCGGATGACATGCACAAAATTAATAAATTAAAATGAGATCTCAAATCAAACTCATTTATTAAATTCTAAACGTTTCGACCCACTTCGGGTCTTCTTCAGTAGCTGCAAAATACAAAGAAACAAAAATAAAAGATAATCGGTACAATCAGAAAATTATAAAACTCGTATACATACAATCCGCAAATAAATTAAATATCATTCTCCTCCCTATTCAAACCGTCCGGCCGTCGGAGTGTCTCCCTAACGGTGACCATCGTCAGGAAGGAAGCAGAGCAGTGACTCCCTTACCAACACTAATCAACATAGTATAAATTAAACGTAGAACAATCCACAAGAATTAAAAATTAAAAACCGGGAAGAACACTCACCCCGACAGTAAAAACAGAGAGAAGACGATGCTACACATGACACATCACTCTAACGACTGTGCGGTATTCTACCTCGACACAGTCGATACATATATACGCAAAAAACAAATATAAAAATAAAATATGAAAATAAAAATAAAAACAACTAAAACCTATCAGCACTCATGTCAGAGGTCTAACAAAAAAAAAATCCGGTTATGTATAATCAACAAAGCTAGATTTTGGTAAATTTTTCTATTAACAGATCAAAATTCTCGTTTAATTTATCGGTGTCGCTATGTAAATTTAAACTATTCCTCTGACGTTTTATGTGGATCATTTCGGATATCAAACGTTTACCTAAAAAAGGCTCCTCGTCCAAGACTTTTACATCCTCCCAATTAAATTCATGGTTCAATAATCTATGCTCCGATATGACTGATAATTGTGACGCGTTTCTCTTTATGTTGCTGCGATGTTCTTTCATCCTAGTTTTCAACAATCTACCCGTCTGCCCTACATACGACGCATCACAATCCATACAATCAATTTTATAAACTACATTGTTATGGAGTTCCTTTGGTAACTCATCCTTGTGTACTTTGATGAATTTACGGAGACTGTTAATTGCTGTATAGGATGGAATGACATCCAAATCACGTGTAATGTCCTCGATTCTCTTCGATACATCATTAACATACGGAACATTAAAGTACGAAACTTTTTTCTGCGTTAGAATCTTGTCATTGCATATATTTGCACTATTGTTATGCAACTTATTATTGTAGCGGAAGAACAACTTTTTTAACCGCGTTTGTAATGTTTGAAATATCAAATTGAGAGGATAATTATTAGACAAAAGAACTCCAATCATAGACTCAAAGTTATCCTTATGGAATTTCGGATGAGTGACTCTATCTATGAGGCTGATAATGGTGCCCTTTTTATGGCAGAGAGGATGCTGCGACTCAAAATTTAAATATCTACCTGAATACGTCGGCTTATGAAACAAATCAAACTCAATGCTCCCATTATTTATAATAATAGTGACGTCTAAAAAATTCAATCGGTTGTCAACCCCCTCCTCCATGGTGAACTGCAATCTAGGATGGAAAGAATTGAAAGTGTTTAAAGCAATATTATTAAGCATGGAGGGTGGGGCCGCCAACGCGATATCGTCAACATATCTAAAATAAAATGGAAATGACATTGGAATCGCAGCAATCGCTCTACTCTCCAAATCTTGCAACGTGATATCCGCAATGATCGGTGAGAGGGGGGAACCCATAGGCGTGCCAAAAGTCTGTTGATAACATACATTATTAAACATAAAATAAGTCGAATTCATAATAAAACGAATTGCCAATAAAAATTCATCTCGTGGAATAATACACTCTTTTTCAATATACCCCCATCTGTTAATTAAACTATCAATAGCCATATCCAATGGTACGTTGGTGAACAATGATGTAACATCTAGTGAAACTAGCTTCACATCACTATCCACACATAAACCATTTAATTTGTTCATTAATTGGAAACTATCAGAAATAGCCGAATCAGGTTTCGGAATTGCCTTATATATTATCTTATGTAAAAATTTTGCCAAGTAATAAAGAGGTGTATTCCTAGAAGACACGATGACACGTAAAGGGCAATTCGGTTTATGCACCTTCGGCAGACCATACGCTCTCGGTAAAACCCCGTCCGTGCAGTTCAGGGATTTATATGTTGTTGAAGAAATGTAATTCTTCATTTTCCATCTCATTAAAATACCGTGTAATTGATTAATTAGGTTCCTAGTCGGATCTTTTTTAACAACAGTATAAGTATCCCGGTCAGCCAGCAAATCACACATTTTGTCCATGTATAATACATATCTCTGTTCATCGCAACCGTGATATTACCCTTATCCGCCTTCATAAATCTAAATCGTAAGAAGGCGTGAAGACTTAAACGCGGATGTTGCTATGGAAACAAATCGTGCAGAAGGCACATATTACTTTTGGTGTACTAACCAAGACTTTGAAAATTGAAATAATCTCTTACTTGAGATTTTATTTCAAAAACCCCTTGACCCCCCTATCGAAATAAATAATTAAATGCGAGCGAAAAATATAAATCCGAAAGTTATTGAATCGGGAATCGAACCCGAGACCTTTCGCTTGCCGAGCGACTGCTCTTCCAACAGCAAAAATACGAAGAATTTTAGTGGGATTTATGATCGTGTTCTTGGCGCTATTTAAATTATTTTTATTTTTACTTATTTATTTATTTATTTGACTTTGTTATGAGGTTTTAGATTGCGAAAGACACATTAGCTTTGTCTCGATTTTCTTAACGCGTAGTGACTAAGATTCTTGCTAACTGTTAACATCTATTTATTTATTGCTTACTTCTGTCAATTCTACATTGTTCATTAAAACAATGGTGAATATTGTCGGTGGTATGCAGTAAATTTGATTTACTGTATTAATTTATTATGCATTTACGTTCGGTATGTAACATATTTTTGTATATAAATTTATAATTATTTGTTGCGATAAAATGTATTAAAATTATAATTATTTTTATGTAACTTTTTATAGATTTACTTGAAAAGGGCTGCAATGACAGCCGAAACGTTCTATTTTAACTAATTATTTATAATAAATGATTGCCAGTTTGGTCGACTTTTACCATTGAAGAAAAATTTTTATTAATTATTACTTATATATATAGCGAACCTTAAGAATTATTATCTGATAAATTTATATATTTTTAAATATATGGATCTTTATAAATTTAATTATTAAATACAATACCATATACAAATTTTGTATATGGTATTGTATTTAATAATTAAATTTATAAAGATCCATATATTTAAAAATATATACACGCTACTCGTGATGACCGTCTTTCCTTCGTAATTTCATAGAAAGAATGAATATCGATTATATTTTTAAATATATGGATCTTTATAAATTTAATTATTAAATACAATACCATATACAAAGATCCATATATTTAAAAATATAATTGATATTCATTCTTTCTATGAAATTACGAAGGAAAGACGGTCATCACGAGTAGCGAGCGTCTAGCGAATACGAGGCAGATGGAGCGTGGTATTTCTAGTTTATTTCTCAAAAATGCGTTGTCGAAATAAAACTTTCTTATATATGGTTGGATTTGGAATTAAATAAGCTTTCAGAATTTTTATTAAAAAAATTTTTAATTTTCAAAAATTATGGAGGGAGGAAGAAATTCAGAAAATTTGAAATTTTTGGAAAATTCTTTTGCGCTGTTTTAAAGAACATTAAAACATTTTTTAATATCTTTTACGGTTTCGGCGATATTAGCTAAAAAATTTAAAAACTATTTCTTTTAAGAGGGTGTTTATCCCCTAAACGTCGAGATACGCAGCTACAAAAAATACGGGTGTAATATTTTACAATGCTATACAACATATTCAAGGCTCATTAATATCAGTGAAGGACACTTCCGACCGTTCCCTTGTCAGTAATTAAAAATTAAAATAACAAGTTTATTTTCTTATGCGGGATTGTGAAGACACTGTTCTTGGCGTCAAGTGGGATTTACGAGCAGACATAATCAGTCAAGTCTGTAAAGAAATTATAAGGTAAAAATATAGTTTCCTCCTAATTATAATTTTAGAATATAATCAATTGATGTACGTATGTATAAATAGATTTAGAATATAAGTATGCTGTCTTCTAAGCCGGGCAATAGAGCCAAGGAAACGAAAACGAAACGAAAAATTAATTAAACGGAACTGTATCTCAATTTGAGATCCCAAAGTTCCACATATAAATTAATTTCGTAACTTACATATGGAGAAATAAGCGAGAAAAATATAGGTCCGAAAAGTCGCTGAAGCGGGAATATATTTTTCTCGCTTATTTCTCCATATGTAAGTTACGAAATTAATTTATATGTGGAACTTTGGGATCTCAAATTGAGATACAGTTCCGTTTAATTAATTTTTCGTTTCGTTTTCGTTTCCTTGGCTCTATTGCCCGGCTTAGAAGACAGCATACTTATATTCTAAATAGATTTATTTCAAAATTTGATTTTCTTATATATACATTTTTTTAAACATAATTTTTAGGATAATTTTTACACATAATTTATATTATTTTATATAAAATTAAATTATATAAAAAATTATATAAAAAATATACATTATATATTGTATATTCATATACATATATACATATATTATATATATATATATATATATATATATATATAAAAATTAATTAATGAAAGGCTCGTATAATTTAACAAAATTAAACAAATCATATATAGCAGGCCAACTGAACGAGCAAATAAATAAGGTGTAAAAATTTTTTTATTAATAGTTAAATAATTAAATTAACATTCCGTTACAGAATCGATATAAATTGTAAACGTTTCGACTGCACTACAGTCTTTATCAATACATAAAAGTTAAATATTAAAATACAAAGTTAAATGTTAAAAATACAAAGTTAGTTAAATATTAAAATATAAAATTGAAACGATTCTTCGCTGTTGACCAATAGATATGCAAGGCGATTGGTCTGAGATGCCAAGTTATGCGACATTTGAGCATGCTACGGATATAATACGCGAATTAAATCAATGTCAGAGAAAATTAAAAAATCTTTCAACTTACATTATCGTTTTAACAAGTCCTTTTCCCCGATATTTCAAGTGTGTGTTGCGAAGTCTGAATACCAAATGTCAAAATAGAGAGCGTGATGTATTTATTTATTACCAATGTTTTTTCTAAATTATGATTCAGCAAATTTTTTAAGTATGTCAAAATAACTACTGTCTAACAATTCGGTGTCTGTATTTAAATTAATTCCATTTTTCTGTTCTTTAATGTGGATCATTTCAGATATTAGTCTTTTATGGTAGTTCAGTTGGCCTGCTATATATGATTTGTTTAATTTTGTTAAATTATACGAGCCTTTCATTAATTAATTTTAATAAACGCTGGCCTTATAATGCGTGGGACTAATTACCCGTTTAAATACCATCGTTTTAATTCTAGTTTTATTTATAACTATTTTGGTCTAGAAACGTTAAAACATTTTAAATCTTGGCTAAATTTTAATTATGCGATAATTAAGGCAATGTCGAAGTTGAAATTTTTAAGGGAATGTAAGAGATATTGTTTGTTTCCCAACCATTTGCGTAATTTCTGTAACAATAAATTTGTTTTCCACCACTATAAATCAAAAAATAGGATGCGTGGTTTGTTGCATAATATCAGAACTGAAATTCTTAACATAGAGATATTTGATTTATATAGAACTTTAAACTCACTTAATAAAAAACGGTCAAGGCAATTCCAAATTCTCCAAAATCTTTTACCATCTTATATCTGGCAGGAGATTTTAAATCACCATTGCAACTCCTTTTCTTTGTTCAACCAAAAATTATATCTCATACACAAGAAAAAATTCCTATGGCTACGTAAATCGCATGAAACAGAGTACATTAAAAATATTGATCCTATCGAATTGAAAACAATATCATCAACAAATATTGTTGATAACACTGTTTCTGCCAACAGTTTTCGTTGTGCTACACATAACCCTTTACAACAAACTAACCAGAAATGGTTTATTAATTTAACTGATAAAAAAATTCCCCCCAATGTAACCAATCTATTACAATTGGGAGGTGAATTTAGTCTCCCAGTTAACTTAAATAAAAAAGTAGCTATACACGAATTCATCAAAGATATAGAAAGCAATTCTAATGGGATCAGAAATCTTACTTCGATTCGTAATGCTGCCATTCCACAATTTTCATTATTTTTAAACAATAACGACAAAAAAACGGACATACAAGAAAAATTATTTCACATGCATAGAGACACAATTAAATTCTGCAATCAAAATCCTAATATTTTATTTACTAGAGCAGATAAAGGCAGCATTACAGTCGCACTAGAAAAAGAATTTTATATAAAAAAAGTTGAGAGTCTCCTAAAAGACGATTCTACGTATACCATAGTGAAAAACAATCCATCAACAAAAATAGAAAAAGAACTCAATATTTGTTTAAAAAAATGGTTGAAAAAAGATTTCATTAACAAAAAAGAATATTATTATTTATTTTCAAGCGACTCTCTTCTTCCTAAAGCCTATGGGCTCCCCAAGATCCACAAGGAAAATATTCCTTTTAGATTAATAGTTTCCTCAATAAATACTTCTCTATATAATATTGCTTCTTTCTTTCATAAAATTTTAAAAGATAGCCTTCCTAGAGCGGACAGTTTTGTAAATAACAGTTTTGATATATGCAACATTCTATCAGGGAAAACAATACAAGATACCGACATAATAGTTTCATTGGACGTTGTTTCATTATTTACTAATGTTTCCGTAGATCTTGCATTAAACGGTATCAATAATAGATGGCATTTTATAGAGTCACACACAAAGATTCCCAAAAATGAATTCATAGGTATGATAAAATTTATATTAACTTCTACATTTTTCACTTTTAATAACATAACTTACAAACAAATTTATGGGACTCCTATGGGTTCCCCACTTTCTCCGATCATTGCCGATATAGTCATGCAGGACTTGGAAACATTAGTAATTAGTAATTTAAATTGCGAAATGACTTTCTATTTCCGTTATGTAGACGACATTATTTTATGCACTTCCGCTGACAATATTACATATGTTTTGAACGAATTCAACAATTATAACGATAGACTACAATTTACATTGGAAAAAGAGGATAATCGTTGTATAAGCTTTTTAGACATAATGATCAAAGTAATAGATAATAAAATTTATTTAGATTGGTATCACAAAAAGACATTCTCAGGTAGATTACATTCATTTTTTTCAAATCATCCGACTTGTCATAAAATAGGAACAATTTATAACTTGGTAGATAGAGCTTTATTACTATCACATCCGCAATTTCACAAAAAAAATATAGAGAAAGCTATTAACATTTTGCTATCCAACGGTTATCCTCTTGACCTAATTTTCACAGAAATAAAACGCAGATTAAAAAATCTCTCAACTAAGAAATTTAACAAGCCTAATAATAACAATATAACAGATACCAATAATACTAATACTAACATTAAATATTTTGTCATACCATATATAGAATCAATATCTGAGAAAGTTGCTTCAGCAATAAGAAGACCTGACGTAGTGGTAGGATATCGTTGCATTAAAAAATTGAATGACTTCATAAAAGTTCAAAAGGACAAAAATAATTGCCCCACGAATTCTAATGTTATTTATAAACTGAATTGCAACGATTGTGACGCCACATATGTCGGACAGACAAAAAGACAGTTAGGAACGAGACTTAAAGAACATAAAAATAATAATTCAGAAACTATTATGTCGGTATCTTGTATTGTTTTCCCTGATAGAATGTTGCATATATCAAAACTGTTATTTACAAAACTGTCCGCTCTAGGAAGGCTATCTTTTAAAATTTTATGAAAGAAAGAAGCAATATTATATAGAGAAGTATTTATTGAGGAAACTATTAATCTAAAAGGAATATTTTCCTTGTGGATCTTGGGGAGCCCATAGGCTTTAGGAAGAAGAGAGTCGCTTGAAAATAAATAATAATATTCTTTTTTGTTAATGAAATCTTTTTTCAACCATTTTTTTAAACAAATATTGAGTTCTTTTTCTATTTTTGTTGATGGATTGTTTTTCACTATGGTATACGTAGAATCGTCTTTTAGGAGACTCTCAACTTTTTTTATATAAAATTCTTTTTCTAGTGCGACTGTAATGCTGCCTTTATCTGCTCTAGTAAATAAAATATTAGGATTTTGATTGCAGAATTTAATTGTGTCTTTATGCATGTGAAATAATTTTTCTTGTATGTCCGTTTTTTTGTCGTTATTGTTTAAAAGTAATGAAAATTGTGGAATGGCAGCATTACGAATCGAAGTAAGATTTCTGATCCCATTAGAATTGCTTTCTATATCTTTGATGAATTCGTGTATAGCTACTTTTTTATTTAAGTTAACTGGGAGACTAAATTCACCTCCCAATTGTAATAGATTGGTTACATTGGGGGGAATTTTTTTATCAGTTAAATTAATAAACCATTTCTGGTTAGTTTGTTGTAAAGGGTTATGTGTAGCACAACGAAAACTGTTGGCAGAAACAGTGTTATCAACAATATTTGTTGATGATATTGTTTTCAATTCGATAGGATCAATATTTTTAATGTACTCTGTTTCATGCGATTTACGTAGCCATAGGAATTTTTTCTTGTGTATAAGATATAATTTTTGGTTGAACAAAGAAAAGGAGTTGCAATGGTGATTTAAAATCTCCTGCCAGATATAAGATGGTAAAAGATTTTGGAGAATTTGGAATTGCCTTGACCGTTTTTTATTAAGTGAGTTTAAAGTTCTATATAAATCAAATATCTCTATGTTAAGAATTTCAGTTCTGATATTATGCAACAAACCACGCATCCTATTTTTTGATTTATAGTGGTGGAAAACAAATTTATTGTTACAGAAATTACGCAAATGGTTGGGAAACAAACAATATCTCTTACATTCCCTTAAAAATTTCAACTTCGACATTGCCTTAATTATCGCATAATTAAAATTTAGCCAAGATTTAAAATGTTTTAACGTTTCTAGACCAAAATAGTTATAAATAAAATTAGAATTAAAACGATGGTATTTAAACGGGTAATTAGTCCCACGCATTATAAGGCCAGCGTTTATTAAAATTAATTAATGAAAGGCTCGTATAATTTAACAAAATTAAACAAATCATATATAGCAGGCCAACTGAACTACCATAAAAGACTAATATCTGAAATGATCCACATTAAAGAACAGAAAAATGGAATTAATTTAAATACAGACACCGAATTGTTAGACAGTAGTTATTTTGACATACTTAAAAAATTTGCTGAATCATAATTTAGAAAAAACATTGGTAATAAATAAATACATCACGCTCTCTATTTTGACATTTGGTATTCAGACTTCGCAACACACACTTGAAATATCGGGGAAAAGGACTTGTTAAAACGATAATGTAAGTTGAAAGATTTTTTAATTTTCTCTGACATTGATTTAATTCGCGTATTATATCCGTAGCATGCTCAAATGTCGCATAACTTGGCATCTCAGACCAATCGCCTTGCATATCTATTGGTCAACAGCGAAGAATCGTTTCAATTTTATATTTTAATATTTAACTAACTTTGTATTTTTAACATTTAACTTTGTATTTTAATATTTAACTTTTATGTATTGATAAAGACTGTAGTGCAGTCGAAACGTTTACAATTTATATCGATTCTGTAACGGAATGTTAATTTAATTATTTAACTATTAATAAAAAAATTTTTACACCTTATTTATTTGCTCGTTCAGTTGGCCTGCTATATATGATTTGTTTAATTTATATATATATATATATTAAATTTATACATATATTTTTAATTATTAGTAAATTATTATACATTATTAAATTGTATATATAATATTTATAATTAATATAATTTTAAATATATGTATCGATCTTAATATCTATGTCAATCTTATACTTAATATTTTATATTAAATTTTTTACTATATAACTATTTCGGATTACCTAAAGAAAAGATCTTGAAAAGATTTTGATTTTGAATATATTCGAAAAATGTAATTATCGCAATTATAGTTAAGTACACATTTTTATATCTTACGATAAATTTCAAATTTTAAAAAAAGACATTTTCAGATGTAGAAAAGGTATAAGGCACAGATTACAGAATATATTCTTGCATCCTAATATTATATATAATCTCTCTGCTTCCGGACGTAAACAACAAAAGGGTTTAAATTTCATACGTTCCTTCGTGGATGAGGTATTCTGCGAATATATTTATTAATATATTTTAATTTACGTATACATAGATCCCCATGACATAAAAAAGATTTTCATTTTATAACTAATATTGTTATGCAGATGATACAGCAGCGACAATGTGCATTAAATAAATCGAAGACTGATGTGAAAGAAATAATTCGTAAGTTATTAATACATTTTTTTCGCATGTTTTGGTCTCTGTGTGATTATTACAATATGATTTATCAATACTTGTCACAGTAAAATAAATTTTATCTAAAGCCATAAAAGAGTCATAAAATGCGTTCTTAAAATAACTTTTATTTACTGATAATTCTTTTTCCTTTTATAAACTTAATTCGAATAAATTAAGATTTTTAATATTCAAAATAAAAAATAAAAATAAAAAAAATCAAAAACATAATTTTCTATTTTTTGCATCGTCTTCTAAGGAAGTAATTTGCCATACTATTTTATATTCTTTTCTATAAATATAGACCGAGCAATTTGCGACATGCTCTTGAAAAAATCTAACAAAGAATCATTCACGCACGACGATATTCACGATAACGTGCTGACAATGTTAGTGGCGGTATGTAAGATGTCTCTACAGGTATGATTATATTCAAATAAGTATAGAGGGAGTTCTCCTAACGCCGTTAGAACATAACTGAACGAGTGGTTATATCAGTGATAAGGTAAGGGGGATCCCTACCTGCCTGCTTTTCATCGATATAGCCACTCGATCGCGTTTTCACTTGCATAGATGTAATACATGTCCGAGATTAGGTGCTGTCCGACGTGAAGGGAAACTCTTATGCATAAAATTTGTATTTATTTTTATTAGGCCAGCGACACAATTGCCATTACAATCAATTTTGCAACCTTTATGTTGGCGAACTTTCCGGAGATACAGGTATATATACTATATATTATACATAAATGTGTGTGTGTTTGTGTGTACACATTAGATGAATTCATTCAAAAATTATTTATTTGCTTTATAAATCAAGTATTCGACAAACTAGCAGAGTTTTACAATATTAAAGATTTATTTTGTAATAATAAAAAAAAGAATTCGACATTCAAGTAAATAATTTGCTCAAATAAATCGCAAATAGAGCTTTTATGATATATATGTTTTGTTACTATTATATAATTTTCTATAGCGTCAATTTTTATTAATACTCTATATGTGTATATACGAGTATATTGTATGTATATAATTATTTACCTACGTATGTATACATATACATTTACATTCACACATACATATATTTTTTATATTTTTTATATTAAAATATGTAAAAATAATATAATTTTGTTATACTGATATCTCTATTAATATAAAGAGTACAATAATTATTTTTAATGTTTTAATAAAAAATGTTATAAAAAACTTTTTTTAATTTTTCATTCAAAATAATTTCTTAAATATGACCAACATTTTTTACACAAAAAAATAATATGCTAAAACAATTTTTTTACATAATATGATAGCTCATTTATTAATTCTTCAAAAAATTATGTATAACATGTGTTTTTATCTCGATAAAAATGAAAACCCTGGCGGACTAACTAGACGAGGTTTCGACGTACTTGACAAATACTAGATGCATTCCGAACAAATACTTAATTAAATAGACATATTTTAGACATATACATGACGTTCAAATATATTCCAGAACCAACATAAAACATCCAGTTCTTGAATAGGCAGTCTAGATTTTATTCATCTAGATTTTGTCGAAAAACAATGTCTAGATTATGGCTAAATTTAGTCCATGTTATCCAACACTGGATAAAATTCGTCTAAACTTTGTCCAAGATTTGTTCAGAAAATTACTGTCCACACTTTGTACAAAACTGGTTCAGATTGTCCATTATTTATCCGCAGAAATTTGTCTAAATATCTAAAACTTGTTCAGAAAACTATTGTCCACACTCTGTACAAAACTGGTTCAGATTGTCCATCATTTTTTAGCAGGAATCTGTCTAGATTTTGTCTAAGACTTATCTAAAAAACATTGTCTACACTATTAAAAACTACACAAAACTATCCAACACTTCAAGACAGGAATCTGTCTAAATTTGTTCTAAAACTTGTTCAAAAAACTATTATTCATATTCTATACAAAACTGTTATTATCTTGTAATAGTTCCTTCATTTGCCATTATGCGATGCAAAACGCACTATCTATCTCGTATTCAAGTTTAGTTACGAGAATTATATAAAGCGCAAAAAGCGGCTATTGCGATTATTATTATTTTAATCAGTTTAATATTTCTGATACGATCCCAACATAAGAAATTCAGATGTATATTTATATATTATTCATCTTTTTTACACATTTTAGTTTCTCACTGTCTTTCAGTGAGATCTTGACAGTTTTGAACGTCTTGACAAATCATATAAGTCTTTCAAGAAATATTGTAAATTAATTCTATTTTCTAATTTTTTTATTTTAGTACCAAAACAGTGCTAAATACATAATCGGTATTGAAATAAAAAATTAACATAAAATAGAGTTGATCAGTTTGATTTCTGAAAAGCTCATATCATTTATCAGAATGTTGTCCAAGTTGTCCAAACTGTGGGCAATATTTAGAAACCGATTAGACAGATTTTAGACAGATTATTTCAATATTTTGGCAACGTAGACAGTTTTTAGGCGGTATATAAACAAATATTAGATAAGGTAGTCTAAAAATGAGACTGGTGGACGTGTTCCAATGTCCAGAATGCATCTAAAACAAAGTATAAGATTATGTCTACTTTTTGTCTGTAGTCCATCTAGTTGGCCCGCCAGGGAATATATGTATAATTGCATGTCTTATATATATATATATATATATATAAAATTATTGAACCTTATAATTATATTGCATGCACTTATTAGCATTTATTTCCCTAAAAAGGAAAAAGCATATCAGGAATTGTTGGGAATTTACGGACTAGAAAGTCCCAAATTCGCATCAATTAAATATGAAGATTTACAGTATATGGACTATCTGGATCGCGTTATTAAAGAAACGATGCGATTATTCCCTGCGGTGCCTTTAATCGCACGACAACTAACCGAAGATTTAAGATTGGGTTTGTTCATAGATACACAAATTATGTATAATTTGCAATACATTATTTATTAAAAGTCATGCGATTTTCCCGTAATTAAACCAATATATTTGAACTAAAAAAAAACGGAAACAGAAAGAATATAATAAATGCATTTAATAAATAAAATTATATTTTTTTATCAATTTTTCTTAATCGTGAATTACAAACAAACTAAACAAATATAGATAATAAAATATATTAGTTTTAATTTTAAGTAGATATTTAACAGAATCTACATATATATTCGAGTATTATATAATAAAAAATATACTTAACATCAAAGCTTTTTTCAGAATTGTGCAAACTCAATTTGTTGCAAGCAAATGTTTCACACGAGGAAAATGTGCTATATAATTATACGATACTTTTTGCTTGTCTGACAAATAAAAGAGAACTCCTATTCCAACAAAATTGTCTGCTCTTTCTGCTTGTAGTCTTAAATTTCAATTCTTATAACTCGAAAAGTGCTTTATGAAAGAATATTTTATTATAGTGTTTTGAAAAGATCTCAACATCAACTAGAAGCATATGAAATAAAAAATAGAAGGTTTTGTTTAAAATATTCGTGTTAAGCTTGACCGGTCTTTTCAAGGTCATCTCAAAATCAAATAGATAACATCATAAAATAATTTTTTTGAGTCCTACTCTTTCTGTCTAAAACATTTTTTTAATTTTATTATTATAATTCTACAAAAAGATTTATGTTTTAGGAGAATTTATTTTACCGAAAGATGCTGATATTATCATAGCACTGGGAAAGGTGCTTCGAAATAAAAAATATTGGCCGAATCCTTTAATGTTTGATCCGGATAGATTCTTGCCCGAAAGATTGGGAAACACTTACTGGGATTATTATATAGCTTTTAGTAACGGGCCTAGAAGTTGCATAGGTAGGTACTAATAAATTATAATATGTAAATTATAAAATTTATTTTAAATTATGACAAAATCTTTTAGGTATGAAGTATACGATGATTTCCACGAAAGTTATACTAGCAACTTTGATACGCACATTTGTGTTTAAAGTCGATAAAAGTATCGCGATCGATAAAATAAAATTAAATTTTGATATTCTACTATCTCCTACTGAGCCTCTGAAAGTCAAACTTGAAAGGCGGGAGTTTCTATCAAAAGGAATATAATGTACGAAATATGTTCAACAAAATGTAATATGAACAGTACAAGCCAAACTTATATCACCTCTTGATTTTTTCAGCATAATTTGTTTTAAAGTGCGTGAATCTTTATCGAATCACAACATGATTTGAAGATTAATATAACATTTAATTATAATTTAATATATGTTATACCGTCCGTCAAAACATGTTATAATTCGTGTCGAAATCCGTGCACTTTAAAACAAAGTATCCTGAAAAAATCAAAAGGGATATATAATTTTGGCCTGTACTGTACTTTATGTAAAATTATATTAAATTAAAAAATAAAATATCTCGTGAAATATTCATTTTTGACCTGATATGTTTTTATGCAGAATATTGCGAGGAATTGATTGATGTAAAAAAATTAGGGTGGTTTTATTAAAAAAAACCTAAATAAATCTTTAAATGATCTTGAGAAATGTTAAAGGCAATTATTCTTGTTCAGGATACTATAGGTCTCCCTTAGAACCTCTGCTTATTATCTTTTTCCTTTTTCTAAAATCCCGTCATATATATAATAATATATTTATTTTCTTATATTATCTGTGTCGAAGCTTCAGAGTCGAAGTGGCGTAGTTTTCAACTTGAAAGCAAACTAAAAAAAACTAGTTAAATCTGTCCCACAATCTAATTATCTGAATCTATATTTTCATGCACAGTGAGAATTGCATTTAGTAAACAGAAATATGTTTTATCGTTTTTTTTTAAATTATTACTGCACGTTATAAAATACACGATTTAGAAGAAAATATTCGACATTATATAAATGTAAATGAAATTAGAAGTTTTTAAAGAAAAAGAAAGATGCACAATATACATACATATGTTAAAGATTAAATAATGTTACTAATTTGAAAAATTAATAAAAATTAATATTTCGAAGAAATATTTACAAAAATAATTTATTGTCCCAGATTAGTTCGCGATCCTATTTCCTATTATAGATAACGCGCAACAAAATCCGAAATAGAATCTTATTTTAAGTATAATATAGAAGATTTGAAGAATTATGAAAATTTTGCAGCAAATTGTGCAAGCATATACAAAATATATATTATAATACACATATGTATACATTATAAATAAAAAAATATTTTTTTAGTAATATAACGTTTGTACACGGTTTTCTTTGTAATATTAACATCTACAATTATTAATACAACTTTGTACCAGTAGGGCTGTCATGATAAGTCAGTGACTTTTACAAGAAAAGACACTAAAATCGAAGTCTAATTTTATTTCTAATATTTACCATCTTATTACAAATATACACACTAAGTTTCAAGTAGATTGTTAAATAAAAATTTGTTGAAAGCGTTCTAAAGCGGATAAGTTTGTGTTTTATAGTAAAATGGAAAAAGTGAATTCCGTGTGTTAATAAAATATTATGTTCTATTATTATAATATAAATTACATTAAATTATGCCTTTGAAAATTTTGTAATACAATTTTACATAATAAACGAGATTCAAATGATTTAAAAAATTTAAGCGGGTTTTCGTCTGGTTTTAGTTAAAATCTTTGAAATAATGTAAAAGTGTATTATATTATAATATTAACTGCAACTTCATCTGTCATCTCTAATTATTTTTTCAGATACTCATTAACAGAGCACATAAAGTAAATATGTTTTTCTTCATAATTTATATGTATATTTTTTTACAAAAAATTTTTATATAATTATTTTATATAATTATTTTATATAATATTTTATATAAATATTTTTAAGTTCTCATGTCTGTACGATCGAAATGGTAATGACATGAGTACGGTTTTTAACAATAGTAATAATAAAATATATTAATTTGTATATTTTTATAGGAACTGTCATTTATGATATACATATAGTATGTATATCATAAATGATATTAAGAGTTTAACTAGGCTCTGTAATATATAAATATAAATTTAACATATATAAGATAGGCAAATAAGAGCCAAATCGCGGATGACAGTGCGTTATTCTAAACGAAACTAAATTTTTTCGTTAGAATTAAATACCTGTGCACAAGGCACCAAATTTTTACTTGGACACGGCCAAGATATAAAATTGGAATAATCTCTACAAGAGATTTTTAATTCCATGTATCCCCTATTCCCCCTAAAGAAATAAAGTGCGAGAGAAAAATATAGATCCGAAAGTCGCAGAATCGGGAATCGAACCCGAGACCTTTCGCTTGCCGGGCGACTGCTCTTCCAACTGAGCTATTCAGATCCTTTCGATTCTATACTTTTCTCTGTTATATATATTAATGTTGGTAAATAAACGCCTTTAAGCCAGCGTGTATAAATTAAGAGTTTAACTAGGCTCTGTAATATATAAATATAAATTTAACATATATAAGATAGGCAAATAAGAGCCAAATCGCGGATGACAGTGCGTTATTCTAAACGAAACTAAATTTTTTCGTTAGAATTAAATACCTGTGCACAAGGCACCAAATTTTTACTTGGACACGGCCAAGATATAAAATTGGAATAATCTCTACAAGAGATTTTTAATTCCACGATTTGGCTCTTATTTGCCTATCTTATATATGTTAAATTTATATTTATATATTACAGAAAAGTATAGAATCGAAAGGATCTGAATAGCTCAGTTGGAAGAGCAGTCGCCCGGCAAGCGAAAGGTCTCGGGTTCGATTCCCGATTCTGCGACTTTCGGATCTATATTTTTCTCTCGCACTTTATTTCTTTAGGGGGAATAGGGGATACATGGAATTAAAAATCTCTTGTAGAGATTATTCCAATTTTATATCTTGGCCGTGTCCAAGTAAAAATTTGGTGCCTTGTGCACAGGTATTTAATTCTAACGAAAAAATTTAGTTTCGTTTAGAATAACGCACTGTCATCCGCGATTTGGCTCTTATTTGCCTATCTTATATATGTTAAATTTATATTTATATATTACAGAGCCTAGTTAAACTCTTAATTTATACACGCTGGCTTAAAGGCGTTTATTTACCAACATTAATATATATAACAGAGAAAAGTATAGAATCGAAAGGATCTGAATAGCTCAGTTGGAAGAGCAGTCGCCCGGCAAGCGAAAGGTCTCGGGTTCGATTCCCGATTCTGCGACTTTCGGATCTATATTTTTTTCTCGCACTTTATTTCTTTAGGGGGAATAGGGGATACATGGAATTAAAAATCTCTTGTAGAGATTATTCCAATTTTATATCTTGGCCGTGTCCAAGTAAAAATTTGGTGCCTTGTGCACAGGTATTTAATTCTAACGAAAAAATTTAGTTTCGTTTAGAATAACGCACTGTCATCCGCGATTTGGCTCTTATTTGCCTATCTTATATATGTTAAATTTATATTTATATATTACAGAGCCTAGTTAAACTCTTAATTTATACACGCTGGCTTAAAGGCGTTTATTTACCAACATTAATATATATAACAGAGAAAAGTATAGAATCGAAAGGATCTGAATAGCTCAGTTGGAAGAGCAGTCGCCCGGCAAGCGAAAGGTCTCGGGTTCGATTCCCGATTCTGCGACTTTCGGATCTATATTTTTCTCTCGCACTTTATTTCTTTAGGGAGAATAGGGGATACATGGAATTAAAAATCTCTTGTAGAGATTATTCCAATTTTATATCTTGGCCGTGTCCAAGTAAAAATTTGGTGCCTTGTGCACAGGTATTTAATTCTAACGAAAAAATTTAGTTTCGTTTAGAATAACGCACTGTCATCCGCGATTTGGCTCTTATTTGCCTATCTTATATATGTTAAATTTATATTTATATATTACAGAGCCTAGTTAAACTCTTAATTTATACACGCTGGCTTAAAGGCGTTTATTTACCAACATTAATATATATAACAGAGAAAAGTATAGAATCGAAAGGATCTGAATAGCTCAGTTGGAAGAGCAGTCGCCCGGCAAGCGAAAGGTCTCGGGTTCGATTCCCGATTCTGCGACTTTCGGATCTATATTTTTCTCTCGCACTTTATTTCTTTAGGGGGAATAGGGGATACATGGAATTAAAAATCTCTTGTAGAGATTATTCCAATTTTATATCTTGGCCGTGTCGAAGTAAAAATTTGGTGCCTTGTGCACAGGTATTTAATTCTAACGAAAAAATTTAGTTTCGTTTAGAATAACGCACTGTCATCCGCGATTTGGCTCTTATTTGCCTATCTTATATATGTTAAATTTATATTTATATATTACAGAGCCTAGTTAAACTCTTAATTTATACACGCTGGCTTAAAGGCGTTTATTTACCAACATTAATATATATAACAGAGAAAAGTATAGAATCGAAAGGATCTGAATAGCTCAGTTGGAAGAGCAGTCGCCCGGCAAGCGAAAGGTCTCGGGTTCGATTCCCGATTCTGCGACTTTCGGATCTATATTTTTCTCTCGCACTTTATTTCTTTAGGGGGAATAGGGGATACATGGAATTAAAAATCTCTTGTAGAGATTATTCCAATTTTATATCTTGGCCGTGTCCAAGTAAAAATTTGGTGCCTTGTGCACAGGTATTTAATTCTAACGAAAAAATTTAGTTTCGTTTAGAATAACGCACTGTCATCCGCGATTTGGCTCTTATTTGCCTATCTTATATATGTTAAATTTATATTTATAAATGATATTGTTTGACAATTGCCCTGGTAGAAATTTTGATTGGGCGCTTGCATGGCAATGACAAGCGTGCCATACTGCCATTTCAGGAGCTGGCATGGTACGCTGGTAAGCGCCATGCCTCGAATCGTCACGTTTTGCCCGCTAGTGCCACAACTTTGGAAATATTTGGTATCCTGGCATGGCACTAACATGGTGCCAGTAAGGTACTACATAGTATAGACATGGAACTAGCAAGTTATTGATGTGGCATATGCATGAAAAATATATGATAAATTAAATAAATTTAGTTTCAGGATTTTAAGGTGTCACCCTTTCGAAAAAATACTATTGAACTATATTCGATTTTTGAAAAAAAAGTTATTGATTTTCAATAATATGTAATAGATTTTACATCATATATATTTTTCATTAATCATTATTATTTTATCTACATATCTAATATTAATTATAAAAGGTATAATAAAATAAAGTATAAATATTTTTTTATATATATATTTAAAATTTATATTTCAGAAAATATAAATATTATAGAACTCGTCTTATTAATTTTACATGTTGAACTTTAACTAAACTATAATTGTACAGTAAAATGACTTGTAGCCCGTGAGCTTTAGGCCATGTTTTTTAATTCATTGATGGATCAAGCGCATTATGCGCAAATCTGCACGTGTAGCATTTGCGCATCATGCGCTTGATCCATCAATGAAATAAAAAACATGGCCTTACTTAACTCGCTTACAATAGTATTACTACGAAGATATTTGTACTTCATCTTTGGTATTCATTGATGACTTGGATGACTTGACAGGTTTACGTTGGTCTATAACATAATATAATATTAAATCCTAAACTTTTCAACAATTTTATTTTTTTTAATGAAAGAAATTTTATAAAGTCCACATTGATTAGATGCTCACAGACTAGCTTGATCCAACAGAATCTACATCTATCTGTTGGATTGTATCTAATCTGAAAGCACCTTAATGCAGTTAAAAATTTAACTAAAATAAATATTAATATTGTACATTTTAAAATATAATCATATCTGACTGACTACAAGATTTTTTTGTAAACATAGGAGTTCTACTAAAACTTTCTTTAATTTCTTCCGCACTTTTTTTAAATCTTTTGTTGATAAATTGCTTGTGCTTTCTTAATTTTTAGTTCGTTATCTTCCGAATCCTGTGAAAAAGGAGTCTCCTTTTGATCAAGAAGCATTAAGCGATCAACAGCATCTGAATATGTTTCTGAAATAAGATTATTGTTTTATTAAATTTATCATAATTAATTTCGAATAAATAAGCTTACATTGTTTAATCAATCCGTAAGAAAAATTTTTAACTGCATCAAGGTGCTTCCAGATCAGATACAATCCAACAGATTGATGAACGTTCTGTTGGATGAAGCTAGTCTGTGAGCATCTAATCAATTTGGACTTTATTAAATTTCTTTTATTTAAAAAATATAAAATTGTATATAATACATACTTGCTTGACCAACAATGTCAACACTGAACAGTGGCCATGACTCTGGTGCTTCCACTTCGCTTTTAACCAAATCATGGAGATTATTTATCCCTTCTGTTGTATATGGAGGTGGAAGAAATGGAACTTTCAATCGTTTAGTGTTTTTATCCCAATTAATTCAAGTTGAAGGAACGATATCAATCTCTTTTGTGGAACCTTTTCTGCGCATTTAATAAACCTCACAATTTTGAATCAATGAACTATTTGTTCATCATTATCGCTGTCAGACATCTGTAAATATATTATATGTATGTATCTTTATGCAGGGTTGGGAAGTAACGAGTTACTTGTAACAAAGTTACAGCTACAATTACTTTTTTTCGGTAACTATAACTTAACTTCGTTACTTTTCTCCATCTGTAACTGTAACTGTAACTTAGTTACATTTTTTTAGTAACTAGTAACTATTTTAATAGTTACTTTATTAGTTACTTTTTTTGGAAACATGCGCTAAAAGTATTGTTTAAGTATGGTAGCCGTTATATTATTAAATTAAATTTTGATAACAGTAGCATATGGATCTTCATATGATTTAATCTTTTACCTAAAATTTTCATTTTGTGTACATAAAATAATATAACACATAATTAAGATCGACCAATCACAGTCAAATATTAAAAAAAAATTCTTAAAGGTAATAATTGATCGATTTGCTTGCGACTTTGCGATTACCATTTAGTAACTTACTATTACTATTTTTACTGTTGTATATAAAGATCATTCATACATTGATGTTAATTGCAAAGTCGCAAGCAAATCGATCAATATTACATTCAAGAATTTTTTTAAATACTTGACTGTAATTGTGCATAAAATGTAAGCTCCTTATATTTAAAACAATGTATAATTATTTTTAAAAAGTAACTAAAAAGTAACGACTTGTTACTTTTAGAGTAACTGTAACGAGTTATTTTTTAAAATCGGTAACTTGTAACTGTAACTAGTTACTTTTTCAATGAAATAACTGTAACTGTAACTAGTTACTTTTACAAAGTAACTTTCCCAACCCTGTCTTTATGTATAGATGCTGAAGTTAAGTATCATATACTTCAGGACTATTATTTTATTCAATTTTGAGATTAAATAAATAATGGTAATTCTTATTTATATGCAAAGAATATAATTATGTACACACACACACACACAAACACACACACATATAATTATCTTTTTACATAAATAATTAGCATTGTTCGCTTAACCTTACAATTGAATAAAGGAATAGTCCTGAATATATGTAATATGTAATATATATATTGTGCGTTTGTGCATGCGTGTGTATGCGCGCGTGCGCGCTAATTCATAATTAACATAATTAATACTTACAATTGCAATTTTATCCCGAATGTGGTAATATTGACAAAAAAAATGCAAGCTTGCAAAGGAAAGGATCCGGAACCACTAAAGAACAAAGGATATGCGTACACTATTCGCTAGTCGGTACACGTGGTCGGTCAGTGAAATATCCGAATGATCAGTGAAAGCACAAAAATAATGTCCAAACTGTTTAAACATGTTTACGGACACAACAACAGACTTTAGGATGACTAATAATTTCCATCCATGATTATCGTTCACCACTGTTAATAACTTTTTAGATATTTAACACGTACTCCACGTGCAGTAATATAAACACGCGGACCACTGACCATACTCAATGCGCAGAACTGTGCGCATTATGGCCGCATTCCGTTTCATGTATATGAGCGCATTTTCTGTAGTAAACGTGACGTGTACTATAGATAAATGCGCACATATGCGTAACACGGAACGCACCTTATATGTACGAGACTCGCTTGTGTGCGATGTGTGCGTACTGCGTAAGGCCGGGTCTACAATAACAGTTTTAAGATTTAAGACTTAAGAAATTAACTAACAACAATTGAATTTAGAGAAGAATAACGAATATGATTGGCCAAGTTCTTAAATTTTAAGTCTTAAAACTCTCATTGTAGACCCGGGCTAACAGTACTGTTCACTGCTGACAATGAGTCGGGGCTGGAACCCGGGACCACATGCTATATATTATTGTAGAAATTTTAGTGAGTGTTTATATAGATGTAATTACAAACCTGTAAATCGACAACAAATATCACGTAATTATTTTTTTTTCTCTAAGAATTTTCTCTTAGAATTTATCTTTAAAATTATGATAATCATGGTACAATATGGTATAAAAAAATTTTGAGAATTTTTCTGATTAATATTTATTACATCAAAAATAATATCTATTACGATAAAATATAAAATGTTTGATAAATTTTACTGTTAGCGCGCTATAAGTGTTAGCACTAACCTTTTTACCTCGTCGCTGACTGGATTCGCGGTCCTCAGATTTATGCCAGATGGATGGATCTCGTTCAATTTATTATAATTTAGTCAGGATGTGTGTGAGGATATATATATGTATATTATGTTCCAGTATAATGTATTTATTTGCGATCCGATGTGTATATATATATATATATACTGTAGAGTCGATACAGACGCCGGAACTGCTGGTAACGCCGCCAGAATAAGTACTTTCTCAGATTTATGACTGTGTCAAAACTGTGTCAAAACTGTGTCAAAACTGTGTCAAACTGTATCGCTCGCTCAAATATCCTCACCTTTATACTCGCTTGTCTAAAATATTCCCACCCCAAAGTACCGGACCAATCGGAGCAATTTTACATAAAATCGTTTGGTGCTCGCGAAAACAATAATTCTTACGAACGAGAGAGATTAGGTTGACGGTCGCACAAATAAATAAAAATATAACGCATAATAAAACTAAACCGTCTAAGGACAAGTAAAACGAAAATATAAATAAAATAGATTAACATCTCTCTCGCTTTCCTTTCTCTTATACATACGGCAATAAAGTTAAAATATATAAAAATGCTTACATTACTAACTCTACTGTATACTTAAATTACTAAACTGGATGGTTAAATTAATCAAACATATTTTATATTTTATTGTGATAGATATTTTTATTATGCTAAATATTAATCAGAAATTCTCATAAAATTCTTTCCATTACCATATTGTCCCACGATTACTATGATTTTTAGGGAAAATTTCAAAAGAAAATGCTTTCTTTTATTTTGCTTTCTTTTAAATTGTATTTATAATTTTGCATATAATTATAATTATACATATAAAATATATGTACATTTAATGCAAAAGAGAAATTACAAATATTTTTTCTCTGTTTATTTCATCGAAAACTGATAATTCTTACATCATCTGAAATATGCATTAAATTATGGACATTTAAGACTACAAATTGTGGACCATAAAGTTTTTCTGCTAGAACAATAAACTTGGTAAGTAATTCTTCTATATAATTTGTATATTCAACTGCATTTTCCATCGATAACATTCGACAAGCTACATGAAGTAATAAAAAATGTTAATAACAAGATAAAATGATAATCCATGGCTTTAAATCTAGCATGGTGCTCAATACCTCTAATCTTTCGATGGAATTCGTCGGGCTGTTGAAATCTTATTTTCTCCATTTGGCTTGATAATATTCTCTTCTGACTGCTACTAAGATGTGTATTAAAATCAGATAACATCCAAGCATCAATTAAACGTTTCATGACTCCTAGATAACACAAATGCATCAAGTCGAGAAGAAAATCATTGACCATGTTCACTGATGGCTGTATGTATATTAAAGGTGATGCTGCTGTATGATGTTCCACATGTGAAAAATTTCGAAAACTTTCATCGGTTCTTTTGGAAGAATTAATGTCTAAATATGTGGCAATTTTATGATGAGTTTGACGTTCTACCAGACATTGTTCGCAACCATATTTTGCGTTGTGACCCTTAATACATTTAAGGTATGCTCTGGCAGGTGTGTCACAGATAAAACACTTTATATTTATACTATAATATTTGTTATTAATAATTATGCCTCTATTTTGCAGGATATTGACCTCAGCAATGAAATCCTTCAAAAATAAATTGACTGATTTTGGTTTGCTATTTCCCACATAAGCAGCAGCTACGAAAGGCTTATAAATATCCCGCTTGAAGTGTATTTTAATTAGAATAGGCCAATAGATTTTATACTCGATTTAAATAATTTTATTCTATCAATATTAACTTGTAATTCGATAGTACTATTCCCAGCAAACACCAATATATAATTGTTACATTGCTATAATAAAACGGAATATAACGAGTATAGACTTCCTGATTTACTGGTCAAGAGAGATATCTTGATTAAATCTTCATGATGAAATGTTGTTAAGCATTAAATTGAGATCTAAATAAACAATATCTAATTATTCATTATAATCTGCCAAGTAAAATGCACTACACACTCACTCAAACAAAATGGTGATTATTTTATAGAAGTTTCAAGTATCAGATCCGACATCTTTTTAAATGTTTTTAGTGAAGACAAAACAAAACGTCCAACCGTCACAACTCTCAGATATCAAATGAGATAGTAACTCGGTGTTTCACCTTTTTATATCAAGGTTTGTTTTTAAACCCTGATAATTTTGGCAGAGACTCTATAATGTTATTATATATATCAGGCAAATATTCAGTATCCTTTTGTAGATTCAATCCATTGGATTGTCTTTTTATATATAACATTTCCGATATTAGTCTTTTGTTATAATACGGTTCTTTACCTAAAATTTTTACTTTATCCCAGTCAAAATCATGGGAGAACTCTATTCTATGATCAGTAACAACTGATTTATTAGAACAATTTCTGTTGATGTGTTTTTTATGTTCCATTATCCTAGTATTCAATTTTCTGCTAGTCTGACCCACATATGAGGCATCACAATTTTTACAGTTGATTTTATGTACTACATTAGTATTCGCTCCTTTAGATATTTTATTTTCATGTGTTTTTATAAACTTCTCTAATTTATTCATACTTACATAAGAGAGTCTAGTGTCAGCTTTTTTTGTGATACCTATCAATTGTTCAGTAATATTCGGTAAATAAGGTACAGTAAAAAACAAAGAAGAGTTATTTGACTGACTTAAACTGTTGTTTGGAATATTACTTCTAGTATAAATTAGAGTTTTTAGTCTATATTTAATTGTGTCAAATATGAATTTTACCGAATAATTATTATTGATTAGGATGTTAATAATCATTTCTATATTTTTTTGATGAAATAAAGGATGTGATAATAAAATTACTCTATCAATCAGACCGACAATTGTGCCTCTTTTTTGACATATAGGGTGTTGCAAAAGAAAATTCAAATACCTTCCAGAAAACGTAGGCTTTCTAAATCAATCGCAAATAATTTTATTATTTTTTGATATTAATTTGATGTCCAAGAAACTCAAACTATGGTTTTTTTCTTTTTCAACTGTGAATTGTATACGTGGGTGTAACAAATTAAAAGTATTTAACGTATGGTCAATATAATTGTTAGGTACCCATTTATATTCAATATTTATGGTTGAACTGTCGATAGATATAAATTTTCAATTATATCTTCGCGTTTATGATGCAACTTATTAACATACATAGATACTCTATTATTGTGCACAATTGGCTTCAAATTTTCTATTTTCGCGACTTTTTGCAAGTCAGAATAGCACCTTTGATAATAAAAAATAGCACTAAGAAAATTCCATAAATTGAATTCAGGCCATAATACATTGGAAAAATAGATACAAGTATTGGAGATCTAAAAAAGGATTTAAAATTAGTAATTAAAATTATTTTAATTAGTATATCTTCTTTAGAGTAAATAAAAAATGTTTATTAAACTGTATCTTCTTACTTGCCACAAGAGAAAGTCACTAAGTCGAACTTCTCCAGAAGTACGAATTAATAAATCTGGATTTGTAGATTTGTAAGTATATAAACTGTGAGAAATCAGGTCTTCATTTATATCTTCTAGTAAAATATCACCATGTTTTACACCTCTTAATATATCCTTAACTGCATGCGTAATTTCATCCCTTGCTACGCAAAGATATCAAAATATTGTGTAAATTCTTATTTAATGAAAAATATCATGAGTTTAAACATATACAGTCATCTTACATGAATAAGGAAAAGCAAGATTTAAAGTTATTTTATTATTGTTTTTAGTGGTAATCATCATTTTGGCCAATAATTTTTGCATTTCTTCTGAAAGTAAGGCCCAATTGCCAATTACACGTATACGTATTCCTTTTTCATCCCATTTATTCCTAAAAATGTTGCATTTTGTATTAATAGATCCATCAGATTATGTTGTAACTAGCTTTAATTCCGCACTTTAATTAGTTAGAAATCTGAAAACATTTTTTCACGATAATGGAATTTTCTCTAAAATCACAGAAAAAATAAAAATTAAAAAACACATTGTAGCTTTTTCCGACAAATTTGCAACATTTTGGTACTAATTTCGAGAAAATCGGATTTCTAATTAATTAAAGCGCGGAATTAAAGCTAGTTACAACATAATCTGATAGATCTATTATTACAAAATGCAACATTATATATATACAGGGTGTTCGGCAACAGGTGGGCCAAAATGTAAGAAGTGATTCTACATGATAAAATAAGACGAAAATCAAGAATGACAAAATTGCGTTCGAGACTTCGTTTATTAATTATAAATATTTTACACTTCGCACTAAGGACGCCTGACGCACGGCAATCTGCTGATATCTGGCGTGCAAAAGGTACATCGGTGGAGTCGCCGTCAAAATACACTGTGACGCATAAGTACACAGATACTTACATCGTAACAATTGATGTACATTGTATAATATTTAGCGCGGAACAACAGTCTTTTTACAACATACAAAATTTTACACGAAACATAACATGTTATATTAACATTATAACAAATGTTCAAAGTATCCTCCATTCTGTTGTAGACAGAGCTCAATTCTTCTTTGGAAATTTTGTCTTACGCTTTGAAAGTCAGCCATCATGTTCTGTATTACATTTGATGTAAATTGAATCCTATGTTCTAATTCTTCCAGTGTTAACACAAGTGTGGAATATACTAAAGTTTTTAAATGTCCCCAAAAAAAGAAATCGAGGGGATTCAAATCTGGAGAACAAGCTGGCCAAGGGACAGGTCCTCCTCGACCAATCCAATTATTTCTAAAATTATTGTTTAAATATTCTCGCACATTTGCAGAATAA